CGAAGGTTTCGCAAGGTTTGAGTTGCGTGGCAGGCGCAGTACTTTCGCAAGGTCAGGTATAGGTTTCGTGGCGGGCGCAGCACTTTCGTGCGGTCAATCACAGATTTCGGGGCAGGCGCGCTACTTTCCCAAGGCTCTGGATGCATTCTCTGCGAGCTGGGGAATGGTAAGATGCAGAAAACGCTGGCGCAGTGCGTGAATTGGGCTTCCGGACAGTGCGCAAACCACCTCGGTCGCGATGCCTGTACGGAGGCGGTCTTGGAACGGGTGCGGAACGGGTGCGAAACGGTCTCGGAACTGTCACGGCGACGGGACCATTGGCACGGCCGCGCGAAGGTTTTGTAAGGTTTGAGTTGCGTGGCAGGCGAAGTACTTTCGCAAGGTCAGGTATAGATTTCGTGGCAGGCGCAGCACTTTCGTGTAAGATGCAGAAAACGCTGGCGCTGTGCGTGAATTGGGCTTCCGGACGGTGCGCAAACCACCTCGGTCGCGACGCCTGTGCGGAGACGGTCTTGGAACGGGTGCGGAACGGGTGCGGAATGGTCTCGGAACGGTCTCGGCGACGTTGGCACAGCACTCCTGCCACACCCCCGCAGTTGGCGTCTGGCAACTTACTGACCCTCGGGATGACGATGATGAGGAGTTCCTCGCACTACCCGTGCTTCCGAGGCTCCACGGTCCGCGCAATGATCATGAAGATGCGGTGTGGCAAGGGCCGCGGTAAACACGAACCCGGCAAAGGTGCACGTGACGCTCCTGGCTCGCCTCGTCACGACGATAGGAGCGGGGGTGCTCGCGACGAAGGTCGTGATGATCGGAGGCACTGAGGCCGCTGATAGGCGCGGGGCCGACAGGGATGATCGCCGAGGGCAAGACGCCCCAGCGGGCGAGCGCCGTGATCGGCCGCGTGATGAGAGCGACAAGCGCGGGGACCGCCGACAGCAGTCGGATCCCCCTCCACCTCGTCGCCAAGGCGGTGGTGATCGACGCAGAGACGATCCCCCGCGTGACAGGAGGCAGGACAGGCCGCCGGCCAGTCACGACGGACGGTGAGTCGATATTTCACTCCAAAAGACAAGAAAACCGGAAAACTACCCCAGACTGGACAGCATTTTGCGCTAATTACAAAAGTGCTGGTGATGCAAAGGTTCTCGCAATTCAGGTGAGGATTGGGACTTAGTTTATGTTCGTTGTAAAGAGTTTGATGACCAGTTGAACGCTTTGCGCAAGGGAAAATCAGAGCGTGCACTTCTGAATGACCTGCAATCCTAAACCTAGATCAGTTCTAGAACGAGCACAGTGATGTTTCTCGTTGTTGAAAAACTGTTGTATTAGCCTTGTTTCCATCCGCATCTTGCCATTCAATTTCACTGGGATTTTGTTTCATGATTTGGGCTAACGGTTAGAATATTTCCTTATCTCATGGTTAACCACTTTTTGGGAGCGATAATTGATTGAAAATAGAGGGTTTGGTGGGCGTATTCAGAATATGCAAAAAATGTAGGGCGGACCCTACGACTGGATGGCAAAATGCGGACGGGAGAGGCCTGGTCTATCTCAACCACCCCCCCTTACCCCCCAGATGTCCTTTTAAAGAATGGACCAAACAAAAGGGGGGGGGGTTACCGCAAAAGGGGGGCGGGTTACCGCAAACAAGGTATCATGATAAAATCTGACAGTTGGGCGCCTTTTTCCCATTGAAATCCACTGGGCATCTGAGTTTCACCCCCCAACCCCAAGCCATCTGTGAGAGCCTCGTCAGACTTCTTCCGCTCCCTGGATGCCCTGGAAGTGCGGCGCCAGGCGGGAAAGCCTCGAAGCAAGTGGCTCCTGGATGAAGAATTTCCAGTAAAAAGTAAGGGGTCAGACTACTTTTGGAGGGAACACCCCAGGGTACTGGGATCTTTCAATCTTCCCCTTTGTGCCTTCAAAAGTGGCAGCTTCTTGTATCCCAGTTATGTGGTTGCTGGTTGCATCTTTCGACCGGACAATCCAACCTGGACTTCTAGAAGAACCAGGACAGATCTCTTGTGAGGATGCAGGGGCGCGGGGGGGGGGGGGGTGTCACTCACTTTGTGCCGCCATTTAAGGAAGTCCACAAAGGGGCAACCACAAGGGTTCACAATTGACAACCCTCCGAATCTGTCATGGTCAGACCATTTTACTTGGGGTAGGGGGTAGTCATCAACTCCACAGGGATTGTAGACCATAATCAGGATTCCGATGCGAGCAATGACCATTGCCCACACGAGTTTTGACCGTGGCACATATGATCGGAATGAGGTAGAACAAGTGTTGTCCTGCCATCAAAGCGCTTGTCTTTGCCAAGCGATGTTGGGCTTGAGCCCGCAGAGGTTCGATTTGCCGAGCGTTTCGGGTTTTCTGCTCTCGCTCAGGGCTGGGCGACTCGCTTGAAGCGATGGTCCCCGTCGAGGCTCTTCGAGGCTCGGGGAAGCGGGGCGGCCGGGCGGCCGGGGATCGCCCGGGCGCCCGGGATCGCCGGGTGTGTCGGCGCAGGATTGGAAGGATCCCCACCGCCTTCAAAATGGAATTGGGGGAGGGGGGATTTCGACCGCTGGAGATCTCCATTTACAGTTCCATTTTCCCCTTTGCGGGGAAGACTGAAGACTGAATACATGGAATTGTGGGACCCCCCACTCCCCACCCCCTTCCCTCTTAGGGTAGGGGGGATTTGGAAGGTGCGAAAGGGTTTACAGGGGCTCCAACGGGTTGAGGGGATTCAAAAGGACTCTCACCTCAAGCCGCGGAGAGGTATCTGGAATTTAGGTCCCCGGAAGTAAATCGCAAGCAGTTCGCCGCATGTGTTGACGGGATAGGTGTGGGAAGGCCAACGCCGTTTCTTCGTTGCACCATCAACTCCACTTGCTATTCCTTTTATGGGTGTGTCTTAAAGGGGGGGGCCCAAAGAAGATGGTTTCCTTGTAACAAGCTTTTAACAAATGACACCCGTATCATCCTCGGCCGAGTTCCTTTCTGCCCCGTGGATTCTCCCAGTCTTTATGCTGAGCTACAAGAGTTTCCCCTCGCGTTTGCAAGATCGACATTGGAGTTGAGGTCTGTGCCCATTGACTGGAAAAAGATGGGATCATGAAGCCCCACTTGAAGCCCCGCTTCCCTTGATACTTGTGGGAATCTCCCCCTTGAGATTTGGGGGGGGTAGTCTTTGGGAAGCCCCTTCTGTATCACCGGTGGTTTTTCCTGCGAAGCAATTGATGACTCCATTCTGTTAAATCAGAAAGGACCAACATAGACGAGAGTGAAGTAGAAGGACTAACACGCACACAATGTATATGCTTACATACACGGCTTACACATCCGGAAGCATAGCACAACCACAATGCATATGCGCACTTCTATGCAGCTGGGACTCGCAGGTCACCTGCTGCAGTGGGACCCAAGAGCGGGTGGCGGCCTTGGACGAAGTGCTTTCCCGCTGACGTGTCAGAAGCCGCAGGGCTTCTGGGATTTGTACATGTTGTGTGCATACACGATATACCCATAGACACACACACGTACGCACACATACAAATATATATATTTATATATATATATATAACTATATATAATTCTATATATATATATGTATATATAGGTGCGACCATAATATATATATATATATATATAATATATATAGAGAGAGAGAGAGAGACAGAGAGAGACAGAGAGAGAGAGAGAGAGAGAGAAAGAGAGATAGAGAGAGAGAGAGAGAGAGAGAGAAAGAGAGAGAGAGAGAGAGAGAGAGATAGAGAGATAGAGAGATAGAGAGATAGAGAGATAGATAGAGAGAGAGAGAGATAGAGTGAGAGAGAGATAGAGTGAGAGAGAGTGAGAGAAAAAGAAAGAAGGAGAGAGAGAGAGAGAGAGAGAGAGAGAGAGACTCGCCCCCATCCACCTCAAGGCCTACCTGTGACCATGAGCAAGGTTAAGGGAGCCACGGCCATGGCGACGTTCAGACAAGTTTTGGTTTAGCTTATGTGTTATAGACGGTCAGGACGTGGGCTTCAGGTTGCCCACAGTTTTTTTTCCGTTTTTTTTTTTTTTTTTTTTTTTTTCCGGCCACCTAATTGATTCTCTAAATGCTGCAAGCAGAATGACTTCCTCAGAAAATTGCCAGAATGTTGAATCTGTGAGGGGAGCACATCTTTGGCACGGATCGAGTGTATTGCGCTCAGGAGACCGACAACTTCTGACGGGTCACAGCATGGCCCATGCAACTCGATGTGGAGACCTCGGATGGATAAACCCGTTCCCCTTTTGGGGCATGCCTTTTTTTCAAACGCCATGCCTTTGGCCGCTTTTTCATGAATGGGGTTTATTCGTCCCAGGCTCCCAGTGTCCCTATATTGTGTTTCAAGTCCCGGCAAAAGGAAACTGCGCGCCCCTGTGAATCTGCAAGGGGTGGCGCGGCAAAGCATCGTATCGCCAGTGCCGGGCAAAAAGGTGCGCTGTGGCCTGAGTTTGTTGAGCCGAATGTACTAGCGATGGATTGAACGCAGAGGCAGGTCATTTACACAAAGAAGACACACCCATATGTTTGTACAAATTGACCAGAACTATGATAGAAACTGACAGCGTTGTGAGCTTCTTCGATTGACAAACACAAAGCAAGTGAATCATCAGGCAAACAGTGAGTCGTCGACCCAATTTGGCATGGGGCGGCCCTGCGGCATTTTCAGGAATAGGGGGGTAGCTGTTGGTTCAAAATGTCGTCTGCTAAACGCCATGCGACGTCGAAGCGTTGCGCTGATACTTCGTGGCTGCCGAAGACCACCCCCCCGGCTGGCCGGCGCGTGCAACTGGAGTGGTGGAAGACTTTAGGGCAAGGTGATCCCAAAGCAACAATGTTCAGGATATTACCCCCAAATGTTGAGAGCTCCTGCAACCAACTTTGGATTGTGACGTGAGTAGCCATCTTAGAACGAGGACATGCTTCTTGCTCGTGTCGGTCTCAGATGCAGACATTGATGTTCCTACTCCACGACAAGTAGTTTGCCCCTCTTGCAAGCAGCCATGAAGTGGAGCGTTCGGCTTCTCATGGTCACGGCTGCCGTGCGACGCTCAGTGCTGTTCTTAGTTTCCGTCGAGGATCTTGGGCTTGATTTCTGAACTGGGCTGTTCAAAGGTAATCCTTAATCCAGGTTACGCAAGGGGTCCCTTTTGTGACTTCCCCAAAAGGACAATGGATTAGGATTGGCCAACCCTCCGTTTAATTTGCTCAGCTTTCAGGTACCCCGTTTCGCCGAAGAGTTGAGAAGTTCATGAACTTGGAGGTACACCAATCGCGCGGTTTAGAACAACCGGTTTACAGGGAGACCTCCTGATGTTGAGACACATCTAGAGCTTGGAGCTCTTTGGCCGAGCAAGCTCCGTGCGTAGCCCGAGGGCAAACCTGGCAACCAATGGCTGTGGGGTAGCCAGACTTGGTTTTGAGAACATCTCGGGTGCCTTCAATGTGTGGGTTGAGGCTCGGTGGCATGCACCGATGGATTGGTCGCTAGGGTTTGCAAGTGCTTGGGTGTGGCTCAAAATTTAATAGGAGGGGCAAACTGCACGTTTTGGTCCATGTTTCCACTTGCCAGGGTTCCATTTTGGAATTCCGGTTTTTTGAGCCACAGCCGCTTAGGCTGCAATCGACTGCTGCAGTTCATGTCGATTCCATAAATTGCAATGGCGCGGGTTATGGCCGCGGGTTAGGATCAACATGGCGTCTTTTTGCCCATTAGTGCAAGAGGCAGCTGAGCAGAGCAGCACAACTGAAACGTCAGCAACATTGTTTTCCAATGGACCATGGACGGAGAGGTTGATGCATGAGGCGAAGGGAACGTTCCGGTTCACAGGTGCAAATAGGCCTGTGGTTTTCAGAGCGAGCCGACTTGGCCCTTGTATGCCTGTGAGCGGCTGTGTTATGTTTTTCTTGCACGCTCAAACTCGCTGCCGATGTACTGCAGCTAGATTCTTCCACACGATAATCTACTGTCCGTAAAAACCTAAACTCACGCGTATTACCTTTAAACCCCACACCCCGTCAGACTCTGAAATCAAAACCCCACGCCTCTCAATTTCCTGACACCGAACCTTTGACCTCGAACCTCTAAAACCCAAAGCCCCTAACCTAAAACCTGACCAAATCAACCTGAGGAATCAAGCGGTCAAAAGACTCGGTTGCTGAGGGCAGGGAGAGGGTCAACTTGCAGCTTGAGACAACCACTGTGGGTGGGGTTCCCTGCTTTTGTGGGCACCCCCTTTTGGTTGGTTTTCAAGGAACACCGAAGAATCCATTTTAAAGGGTCCACATCCTAAAAAGGCGGGGTCGCCAGCCATGCGGCTCCTCGAAGTGAGCCTCAGGCGGCGGCCTCTGAGCAGGAGCTCTTGGAGTTCAAGCAGGAGACCCCACGGGACCAGACGCACCCCTCTCAACCACGGATTAGTAGACTGGTGTATCAATAGGAGGCTGGGTCCCGCAGTAGTGCACTTTTACCAACTTTTTTGGGGGAGGGGTGCCCCACTAAAATAGGCTACGGCGAAAAGGGTGCCCTTGGAGGTGTGCATCTTTTAGTGGGGATTCTTGACTTGAGGGCAACACCTACCTGTGAATAGGACGGGTGATTCATCTGGGGTGAACATTAAAAGGTTCGTGAAACAAAGACACAACTCTCCCATGAGTTGCAAGTTGTCTCTGCAGATTCCGAAGCCCTTGCGTCGCTTCAGTGTTCAAGATGGGTACGCGAATGGTCGGGAAATCAGGAGTGAAGCTTTGCTGGTCTTTGCCACGCCGTTTATTATTTATTGGGACCTCATATCTTCGCTCATAGGTGTTAAGTCATATGATGATAAGATAGTCACAAGTTAAAAGCAATTATTAAGCATACTTAATCGGACCCCGGGACTCATAAACCCTCTGGTTGATTAATTCGGGGTGCCCCCTTTCAGTGGAGGGGCCCGAACCTCCCTATGAACAGAGCCCGGTTTATTTTTTGAGCCGCAGGACTTTCTGGAGTTTGACCTGAACAAGGACGGGAAGCCAAGGGAGATCAATGAAGCTGCACATGTGTCGGGGGTTTGAATCTCCTCAGCGCTTCGATGGCTTGTCGCTGGAGTTTCCGTATGCTGAATCGCTGCGTGCGATCCGCAAGTCATTCCTAACTTGCCATGCGAAGAAAAGAGTCTCCTTGGGAACCGTGACACTTTGAGTCATACCCGGCGTTAAAGGCAACCGGTTCGACATCTCGCTATATGGTTGGAGGGAGCGATAATGATCCTTTGCATTTTCGGAAAGGACGAGCGGTATAGGATTGGATGCTTTTCATGCACCAAAACTCTCAGGTAAATAAATGATACGTGCCCTCCAGATCCATCATGATAAGCAAGGACTCAACACTCTTGCACACGATGTGGGTATGTTTCCCTCAAAAACACACCTCCATATCTTGCACAATTGTTCAACTGATTTGACTCCTTTTCTCCACACAAAGTTTGGGGCCCAAGCAATTTGGGAGCCACTGCTCGGTGCTTTTTCCCTTCCAATTGGGCCATGAGTGTACGGAACCCCCTCAGAAGTGCGTCCTATGTGACACACCTTGACCAAGCGAGCTTCCTTTTCGGGTGACCCATGCATATGCTCCCCTACAAATCAACATCTAGCCCAAAAAGGAAGTCTCCCAAAAGGAGATTCCTCCAAAGATCGTGATTCTTCAGGTTCCATGTTAGTTTGCTAAATCAGGCCGAGGTCGAAACAGCCCTCATTCTAATCAGGAGATTCCAGTTCAAATTATGCTCGTGAATCTGAGCACATTTTGGCCACACACATTTACCAGCGAAATTGGGAGGAACCCCGTGAAACATGGAGAGTTTCTGGCCCGGCGCGGCCAGGACAACCAGATCGATGCGCAGGAAGTCCGCGCACAGCCTGCCCGGCTTGGTTGGGGACTGGAACGGTTTTTCACGTGAGCTGTAGCTGCTAAGCTGGGGTCAATGATTAGAGGCCAAATATGAACCAGAATCTGGAAATCTGTACGGCCAAGTTTGCTGGGTCGGTGATGGTCATGGACTTAAGGGCCGGCAAGGGAGCAATGACCATGATCCACAGAATCGAAGTTAATATACCCCCCTTCCCAGTTCGCAAGATGGACTTTCACGTGTTTATCCCCTGAAAGCTTTGGGTTTGTCCAAAGCTCTGAGCTTTCATGTGGTTCTGGAGATTCGGTAGGTGCCGGGGCTGTTGGGCTGTTGGGCTCTTGCTGATACTGGGCTCATATAATGTTGCCACCAGGAAATGCAACTCTTGCATTCCTTGGGCTCAAGCAGGATTGCACAGCTCCTTGTGTCAAGACAGGTCCGAGCTTTGCAGAGATCCATACAGCCAAGTCGAAGCATGAAGGAAGTATCCAAACCAGAACATGGCGCAAGCGGGATAGTTTTTGTTGGTGAGCTTTGCAATTTCGACATGCTAGCTGCCATGCACCGATTGTCAACATGTTTGATGCCCCAGTGGATTTCACCAGCTCTTGCACTCTTTTAGCACTCCTGAATTCACTTTTCAAGATGAGACACAAATCCTGGAGTACCAGGAAAGCAAGTGAACATGTGACGCAGGCCCGCGACTGATGTCGCTTTCTGATGACACATCTCTCCTCTCGAGTGCCGCGGGTTTGTAGCAACGGTGCATTTGGGCACCCCATGTTGCCCAAAGGAACGGGCCCCTGCAAGGCCATTCCTTTCCGGCGTTTATTATTATTAATTGTTGTTTATTATTATTGTTATTGTTATTATTATTATTATTCTTCTTCTTCTTCTTCTTCTTATTATTATTATTATTATTATTATTATTATTATTATTATTATTATTATTATTATTATTATTATTATTAATTGTTGGTTGTTATTATTATTATTAATTATTATTATTATTGCTATTATCATCTTTTTTTCACACCCAAATTGTCAGTGGTCATGGCTTGAAATCGCCATGGGAGCGATTTCGCGGCTTCGCCGCCCGCTTCGCCGCTTGCTACGGCCAGGTTCAAGGGGAACTTGGACGCCAAGGAGCTTCACCAGCGGGGGCTCAGTTGGGTTTCAAGGAGCAAACGGGACCCGAGGGGTCTGCGACGCAATGGCAGGGTGGCTCGTCTTAAAAAAGAAGAAGATAACAAATCAGCACTGGGTCCCCGGATCCGGTGTTTTTTTTTGTTCCTAGGGCTGGTTTTTTTGCTAGGGCTGCTGCTGGTTGGTTGGCTGGCCGCATCCCCGGCATCACCAGCCTCACTGGCCCTGGGCCCGCCTATTGGCTCTGATTAAACCACCAAAACTCGCCCACAACTCACTTAACCACACCCTAAAGCAACCCTAAAGCCGCTGCTAAACCAGCACACCTAACACAAATCAGCTCCAAGCCAACCCAAACTCGCTCAAAGTCAACCCTAAACCCGCCCAACAGCTGCCTGGATGTCAGCCCTTGGCTTCGCCTAAATCAACCCCAAACCACCGCAAGACCCGCGTATCAACGCAGCAGCAGGATAACGCGGGGGTGGATGTGACAGGATTTTGTACTTGCCTGTTTTTGATTGGATGTTCTTCGCACTCTGGCTTTAAACAGAAACCCATTTTGACCCACATCCAATTCCGGAGCTCTTGCTGATTTATCTTGGATCATGCCCAGATCAGGAGCGTTTTCTCTGTTGGAGATCGAGACTTTGGTCGCCTGCTGATTTGTCCACGTGGCCATGGGTCAAAACCCCGTACCCCCAGTGAACATCCCAATCCCCACTAAAATAGACCAAAATGGGTGGTGCACTACCCCAAAATGGTACCATTGGTTTTGACCCACAGCCATGTGGGGATAGGTGAGGGGCATGCCACATTGGCATGCGTTGGTCAATCGCGCCATTTACTGTACGCACAAGGTGATGCAGCTTTCTGCTTCCCGGGTGTGATTGGTTCTTTGGTTCGACCTTCGCCGAATTCTTTGGGCCATCGATTTCTGCAAGCCTTTCCCATTCTCACCTTGGTTGCTGAATCAATTGGAAGCGCTTGTGCGTGTCCTTTTACCTTGTTGACCCTTTCTTGTGCTGGCTGTATATCGGCACATCGCCCCAGGCTACCATTGCTTCAACCATGGCGTATGGGTGTATCCTTTTTAGGGGGACCCCCCAACAAAAAATGAAAAAAATAAAAGTCAGTTTTTCTTAGCAACTCACCAACCCCACCAAAAAAGGGGTACCATCTCCAAGAAAAGGAGCCCCCCCCCAAAATAGCGATTTTTCTTTTTGGTGTCCCATTAAGACCACCAAAGAGGGGGTACCGAGCCTCAAAAAGAGACTGAGCCGCCTCGGCGTACGACACCCGCTCTTCGGCACGCGGGTCGCTGCTGCGCACGTCGGCTCTGGTGTCCGAGGTTCTTTATCGACGTCGACAAGGCGTGGGCCTGGCGTTGGCTTTCAGCTGGGCCCTTCAGGGTGTTTGGCCCGCTGTTTGAGTCAATATACCTTGGTGGCTCCCAGCCATCCGGTTCCTTAGCCTTTTAGCCTTTTAGTGTTTAGTGGTAGTTTCCGTTTAACCCACTAAAAGTTAAACTTTTAGCGGGGGATCTGAGGGCAACCCAGATACATATATACTTTGCCAGAATTCGCTCCCCTTTTTCATGTTTTGCTTTTTTTGGGTCCCCATTGTTTTCTATTACCCAAGCAAAAATGTAGTTTTTTGCTGGGGGGGGCGGGGGGTGGGGGGGGGGGGCGGGCCAAGGAAGACTGGATCACATCTATATATATATATATATACATATACATCTTATGTAGATAGGAAGCAAGGAGGCCACTCTCGGAGCAATTGCTGGTGAGTGCTTCGTAACTTGATCTTATTTCCAGCTCAAAAATGCGCGCCGTCAGGGATGAGGCGCCTCTTGTGCCACCTTGAGATTTCAGTGACACCTCTGTCGACGCATCGGCAGACGCATTGCTTTTTCCAGCCAATTTATTGTGCCAACCTCACTGCCTTGGAATGTGGCACCCGCCATTCCCAAATGGTAAACCTACCCCCAGTAGTGCCCTTGTCCCCTTTTTTGGAGGAGGGTTCCCCTAAAATAGACTACAGGGAAAAGGGTACCCTTGTTCTTTTTGTGGAGGACCTAGTAAAGAGCCCCTGGCCTCTGGACAAAGACACCAAAAGCGAGCGACTCACATCCGCCATTCGGCCTTCAGGACCTCTCAGGTACTATCTCGCTGCAGGTCGGCACGGGGGAGGCTTCCGTTTGCTGAAAAGAACATGTGTTTGGGACATATTTTCTCATTTTTCCAGAGAGCCTAAGCAAATGGAAGGAGGATAATACAACATTGCCAGACTCGCTCCCTGAGCCCCTGTAGTTTTTGGGGCCATTTTGGTGGTAAACATCAAGTCCTAGGACGTTTTTTGGGGCAATCTCGGGAAGTTAGCAGACTTCACGCGTTCTGAGGCTTTCTGCCAAGGACTTTAAGGTTTTCCTTCACTTTTCCCGCAAAGCGTCGCAACTTTTATGCAGGGTCGGGTTCGTCTAGTTGGCGCTTCGCCGTTGTTCGGGGCACAAAACATGAAGAACCCACCGGAGGCTTTTTTGAGCATCCAGCATGAGTGTGTGAACTAAAAGTCATTGGTACGGATAGCGATGCTTCTTTCTGTTGCCACTTGCAATCAAACATGTTGGAACGCCGCGCAAGAAAACACTTCACAAGACCACGCATCGTGCGACCTGTGGTTACATGAGCCACGGACAAACAAATATTCGTAGTCTTCTTTTGGCTCGCGGAGGACATGGGACAAACCCAATTTGTCCATAGCCTCCAGGCGCGGGAAACGTGTCATTTTGTCCGGGGCTCACATGCTGGGCATGGGACATTGGTGACCTTGAACCAATGAGTGACAGGTCGCGGGGTCTGGCCAAAGAAATTCAGACAGAGTAGTTGCGACAGAGTAGTCGACCAGTTGGAACGCATTCAAATTGCTTGGTTGTAGACCACCACGAAGATTGGTTGCTTTGTTTCTTCCGCTGAAATCTATGTAGGTTCTAAGGTGAGTGGAATAGAATTCTTGGCCGATGTGAAGCTCGAGGGTGATGATCTGAACTGAATCTTGCAGTTTATATCACCCCGCCTGCATTTTTTGGATCATAGCTGACTAACAGGTTGGCAATTTGGCAGCTAGCTTATGTTCGTTGGATGGGTGGTTTAGTCAGCTTCGCATTACTGCATGCCCAACAACAATTGTTTTGGGGCGAGAATTGCCATGAGGGTAGTGAGCTTGTCGCATGCTCCCATCAGGGCAAAGCACTGCAAACTATCCACTGGGTAGGATCGGCTAAGAAGGGGTGAGACACACACACACACACACACACCATGCGTCTGGGCCCGGCTTAGTTCATGATTTGCTTTAGGTATGTCCGAAAGGGGATCCGCAACTCGGAGCACATTGCCCTTATTTCTTCGGCTGGGTGCGGAGAATATTCGACCTTTGGTGGAGTGATTTGCTTCACTAGGCCAACAGCTGACTGACCAGTGGCTGAGCCATGTGTTCCCTTCAAACAACTTGTTGGTCGGAGCGAGTGTGATGGCTATGGCGTTGACCAGACTTTGAGGCAAGCAGATTATTTCTCAGCGCAACTCATGAGCTTCTCTCGAAACCGGACAAAACCCAACCGGGTTGTTTCCCTTTAGTTTCCCTTCAAAACAACCCAGCAAGGGCGCATTTCACTCACAAGACTCGCACAGGGAATCGCAATCTTTCTTTTACATGTTGCATGGTGTTCATACGGTGGGTTGTCAAAAACGCACCCCTTTTTGGACCCCTCATTTTTAATAACCCCCATATGTCTGCCGGCTTTGTTTACGCGATCAACCAGGAGTACGTGGACTATGCGGCCTCGCTGAATAGTGGCGGCGAATCGACGTCCAATCCGTACCGAGCGCCGGAGTAGGCCTTTCGGATGGCATCGCTATGCGAGCAAAAATTGGCCGGCTGCCGCAGGTCGTAGGTGCTGATTTGGATAGCTGCAGGTGCATGCCCTTCCGGCTTCGTTGATATCGCTTGAATCCTGTTGAGTCTGCAGACTCGCTCCTATCCAGAACGAGAATTCTTTCAAGCAGTACTGTGTATAGTCTGATTGTTGAGAACTGCTTCCACGCTGTTTAGTGAAAATGTGTGAGCCCCTTTGTCATTGCTGTTTGTCAAAAGGATCAACGTGGCCCCAACGGTGCTTCAACTAGTTATGCCACTTACCTTGGGCGACCAAAATTGTCCCCCCCCACCCGAGCAGGTGTCGACTGAAGATTTCGCGGTGTTCCTTGACATGCGGGGGCGTCTTTTGTTAAGGGTACTCATGTTTTTGCGTGCTTTTAAGGGAAACCAAAAGGAAGACCGAAGCCATATGGCTGTGGGTCGAAACCAATGGTACCATTTTGGGGTAGGTGCACCACCTACTTTAGTCTATTTGAGTGGGGATTGGGATGTTCACGGGGGGATTTTGACCCATGGCCATAGTAGTGGGTCCAACCTGAGGACGTGCCCATGTGGCGCCCTGGCACTTTCCGAGTCTCAAGCGCTCACATGCATGTCGCGAGCCGCAATCAAAACAAACCCGGGTGGTTGAAACTGCCTTGCCACGCGCGGCAAGTTTTTCCGGCTGTTCAACATGGATTCCGGGTTGCTTTTTGAACTCTAGTATATTTTTTCTTGGGCAAGCCCTGCTGGGTTTTTCACCCGCGCAAAAAAAAGCCACCGACGTCCCACCGGGGTTTTCGCTTGTGGCTCATGGCTTCCTATGGAGCTGCGGGCCCTGCGGGCCGCGCAGCGAACGGCGCAGTGGCGGGCGGCGCTGGCGTGCCTGGCAGAGCTGCGCCGACGGCAGGCGTTGCGGGAGGCAAAAGGTCCGGGGAACATGGGAGGACCAGCGGGGAAGCCGAAAAAGATAGGGAGATTTGATATTTCAACCGTTTCAAGCACCAAATGGAAGAAGTTGCTCATTGTGACTTGGGGGCTAGGTGGTCCTTTTGATCGGTGAGTTTGATTGAACATAGATGGGTTCCACTGGTTCAGATTGGTTTCATTCCATTTAGGGCCATCTATTTGTCCACAAGGCCAGCTACGGAGAGGACGTACACCAACCTTTGGGGTTGGTGCCGAATCCAATGGTGAGTTCTTTTCAGGAGCCCCGCTGATAGCAAGCTCTCACCCAGTTTGGCACGTGGCTCAAAGCGCGATCCCTTCGGAAAGGAACGTGGGACTTGGCCTTCTCTTAGCACTGGGCCAACTATGTTGACTGACTTGTCATGTTCCCTCAACATACCACTTTGGGGGGTAGCTTTAACCATGGGCAAACTGATGGGTATTGGCGGGTTTGGGTCAGCCTTCATTTCTCAAGGCGGATTCATCCGCTTGTCTTGCTTGTTCTAAGTATGCAATAGTATGGGAATGCCAGCTCCCAACCATAAATGGATCCTAGCTTGTTTTCCTCCAAAAGCCTGTTTGATACGTGCCCTCAGGTAGTCCAGTTCTCCCACTTGCAATGGCTTCGACTTCTGAAGACGGCCTTGAGTTCCAAGAACGCACCAACCAGCTGTAGCAAATTGTTTTGTCCCTGCCCCAGCGCCCTCTTCCATCCCCCCTCCCTCTTTCGCTTCCGAATCGGTCCCCGGCCGGGGAAGAATGTTTTTTGGGGTCACTTTCTGTGATGCTAAGGGCACCCCCTGTAAAATCACGAAGTCGACGCATGGGATTTCTACATGTATTACATAGGTTATTTCCCACATGAGCAGCGCCCAACCCCCATTGGCATTTTCAGTAGGTGGATTATCGCAATCCCCACATAAACAATTTGGTAGAATCTGGTCCAGACATCTCAGACGCGAGCCGCCGTGTCAATCACAAAACTTGGTGGCTCACAGCCATCCGGTTCCTTAGCTTTTTAGCCTTTTAGTGTTTAGTGGTGGTTTCCATTTAACCCGCTAAAAGTTAGCCACTTTTAGCCGGATCTGAGGGCAGCCCAGAAAAGTCAAGGACGCGTTTTGGTCGCCACTGGAGGCCGGATCGATCCTTTCCTTCAACTTCGCCCTGGGGGCCCTGAAATCAGCTGGGCGCTGGCGGCAGAGCCTTCAGCTCTTGGCAGAGGTGTTCTGGGCGAACCTCCAGGCGAAGCAGCCACTGGGGGGGGGGGGGGCAAAAAGCTTTTATTTTGACGCTTGCCCACTCATTCCCCACCCCCCCTCCCCCCCCTCCCCCCCTCAAAAAAAACAAGTAAGTTGCTTGGTTTCCATTTGCCTTTCCTTGGAGACCCAAACGGGTCCGTTGGTCAACCCTAACCACCTCCACCGGAAACAGGCCTTGCAGCCCACCAACCCACCAACCACCAACAGGCCCCACTGTTTCACCACTACCAATCTCACCTCCGTTCAGTGGTAGGTTAAAGGCAAACCCCCCTTCACCAGTTTCTGACTTCAATTTTCTGTCAACAAAAACGTGCCAGACCCCACCAACCCTCCGTTCAGTGGTAGGTTAAAGGTAAACCCCCCTTCGCCAGTTTCTGACTTCAATCCCCGACCCAACTCTCCAACCCTTGGCCTTGGCTGGGAGAAAAAAGTGGCTGTGGCTCAAAAAAACGGAATTCCAAAATGGAACCCTGGCAAGTGGAAACATGGACCAAAACCTGCGGTTTGCCCCTACTCATACGGCTAGGATCTCTGTTGACACCATGTGATTTTTCAAGGTTTGCTTGATGTTTCAAGGTTCAACAAATATGGATCAGAAGCAATCATCATTTTTTTGGTCGCGGGCAAAAGAAGAGGCTACGGCGGTGACTTTGAGCTCGGCGCTCTGCGTCCTGCCCTGGCGCCGCGCGGCCTCGCTGCTCGCCGACGGCGGATCCGTGGCAAAGGACTTGGCGGGCGATGGCTTCGTGCGGGTGGCGGCGATGGGCGGTCCTTGGGTCCAAGGTGCAGGGGCGGGGGAAGAGGGGGGGGGAAGAGGAGCTGGCATCTTGGAGGAGACATGTTTTTAGTTTGCAAGGGTGTGGCGTTTTTGCGGCGAGTGCAGAGCGGTTGTCCAAGTTGTGTCGACCTGAACTGACCTTTTGGTATTCCCATTTTGGTCCATATTCAGTCATGGCCCCAGGTTAACCTTTCAGTTCCAGGTCCTTTGGGCAACTGAGCCGCAGGGGACGAGTTTAGGGTCAAACCTGGGGGCCCCAAATGGAAGATTGATCAACCTTTCTGGGGGGTAGGTCCCCTTTCAACCAAGGCTTCGGTTTCCCTCGGTTTCAGCCTTCCAGGCGTCCAGAGTTTGGAGCGCGGCGGCACCGGCGACCCGGATGCCGTCATCAACGCCTTGCTCGGCAGCCTCACGAAGGCTGCCAGGTGGGGGAGGGATAGCTCCAGAGTGGTCTTGCATCCCAGAAAACTTTGGTGCATTTTCCCCAAGGGATGTTAGGACTTTCACTTTTTTGCCAGCTAATGGGTTGGTTTTCCGTATTGAACCACCACAAGTTAGTGAGCAGAAAGCAACCGAGACATGGGTTTGTCCTTGTTTGAGGGTACCCTCTTTTGGTGGTGGTTTAATGGAACGCAACCCAGAAAAGGACCAACACTTGAGCCTGGCATATTCCTTGCGAGGCTTGAAGTGTTGGTGCCGGGCTGATGGACCCATCTTTCTGCCCGCAAATCATTCATGCATTTGCCTGCACGGCGTGCTAAGAGAGTCGGGACCATTGATTGAAGAAGGGAAGGTGCGTGGGCATGAGTCCCATTTGAAGGGTTGCACATGCCCGTATCAATCAGCTGCGTTGCTTTTTCGTGCCTACTGTGCCAATTGCGGTGAATTGCTGGCGTTTTCCGGAGACGCATTTAACCCCCGCTGCTTCCCGCAAAGGTTCTCAGAACCACCCTAACAAACCCTTTCTGAGGTTCTGAGAACTTTTCCTGGTGGGTGGGAGGGTGCCGTGGGGTCGGGGGGGTGCAGGGGGTGCAACTGGACCCAGAGGCCGCGAGTTCTTTGACTCAAAGTGAGGACCTCCCAGAGAAGCCAAGCGGGCCTGATATTGCAACAGTATAGGTATTGTTCCCAAAGGAATGCTGAGATTTTACTCTTAGAGTTTTGGAAAGCGGCTCGCGCATTTTTTCCGGATTTTCAGCATGTAATCTCCATGCTCCGGATAGCGTCCCTGGCTGATAGTTGCTTTGACCTTCAACATTTCACCATGAAAAATCAATCGCAGGTTATCCACGAACCAGCACATGATCAAATCTGACCCGCGCCGTTCTCAATCATGGCCATGCGAGAGCAGGGGGCTCAAAGACAAGGCCACTTAGGCATGTGTTTTTTTTTTGGGGGGAACCCCCGTGGTGCCGCTTGGGATGTATGCCCAGCAACCACTTTTCAGACGGTTCCCCCAAACAAATTCAGCCCTCAGGTGGCGTGAAGGCGTGACGTTGGCGCCCAAGGAGGCGGATCGGATGGGACCCGTGGGACCCGTGGGCACGGGACCTGTGGGCATTTGGGGCCCAACTCGGTGGAGATGGGGTACTTCGTGGGGAGGAACTATGCTTAGAACCCGCTGAACGGAGACTAACTTAACATGGCTTTGGTGGGTTATAAGTTAGAACTAACCATGGTTACTACCCACTTACTAAGACCCCGATCGCCCCTTTAAGCAGAAAACAGGGCTTGGTTGGAAACGCACCCAGCGTAGATTCTGTACATCTTGTACTTCAGCTTGACTGCAGATTTGAACCATCAACGCGTTTTTTGCTCCGGTACTTGAGGCATACCTTCCGAGGCCTTCATTGAGTTTCAGTGGATTTCCCAATTGAATTTCGCACACAAACAGGTGCCCAAAGGCACTTGGTGTTTTCGCTTTCGCAGCTCATTTGAACACCGGCCATTGCACCTTTGTGTTCCTCCTTAAGACTTTGTTTGGTCCTCTTGTGTCAGAATGCCAAAAGGTTCTCCTTCTATTTCTGGTCCTTTGCGCAAGGCATACGGTATGGATGTTTTCTTCGAGCTAGTGGCTTGGTGCCGGAAGTAGGGCCTGCCATTTTGCCACCAGTTTCCTTCGGCTTCCTTTGCAACCACTTGAATATTTCATGCCCCACTTGCCAGGGCCACATCTTGTTTCCAAAAGGGCAACTTTTGTTCTGCACTAGGTTCCTGTCGGTTCCTTTGAAACGATTTCGGGAATGTGGAAAAGGCTGCCATTGGTCGACCAAACCGAACCCTTTGGCCTCAATAGGCATTGGACGTTAGATTGCTATTAGCATCACGAGTTCGCATGTCCACCATTCATACCATCCACCCTCCCGCCCTCATTTTAGCCATCCCCCTCCCCCTCAACTCAACTCAACCTCCCCAACCTCCCCCACCCCCCCAACCTCCCCAACCTCTCCAACCTCCCCCACCCCCCCACTCCCCAACCTCCCCCGCCCCCACAACCCCACCCCCCCCCCCCCGCCGTTTTCGCCGAGGTGGTGGGCCGAAACTCCTTGGCCCGCGCCGTCGCCTGGCCGCGCAGCCTGGGAATCGTGCGCACCTTGGAGGCGCCTGGGCGAGCCGAGGGAGGGTTCGCCGATTCCGGGAAGGCGACGGATGCATCGCGGCGGGGGCATCTTGCTGAAAAAGCCGGCCTTTTTGCTTCTCCGTTTTGGTTTTCTTCTTCTTTTTTGTGTGTCTTGTTTGTCTGTTTTGTTGCTTTGCGTGGCAAACCAATCATGTAGAAAGACAAAACTGTCACAGAGGGCCCGGCACTTTTTCCTTGCGGACCAAAACAAGTTGGGCTTCCTCTTCCCTTGGACTTCTTTGGAACCGAAGCGCGCTTCTGCATTTGTCGGAGCCCAAGCACTTTTTTCGGTTCTGCGGCTGAAATGTTCACCCGCTTTTTTATTTGGGGGGGAAACGGTGAAAACGCGAAATCCTTGCCTCCCACCCGGGTCCCAACAACTATCTATTTGTGATGGACATGGAGAAAAAGCAGTGGGGTGCTGGTTGATCCTTTTCCCCTTTCTTTGGGGTCCATTTCGAGTCACGCCAAGCCTTTGTCGCCCCCAAAATCCAGGGGACCGGACCTATGACGCCTGAATTTTGAGCCGCCTGGCTCTGTTCATGTGTAGTTGGCTGCAAAAAAGGGTGCAGAAGACCAACTTGAAGTTGATTGGTTAATTTCGCACCAGCAAGTCCGGCAATTTGTTTTTGTTGACCCCACCATGGGCCGCTCCACTTCACCGATTCGATCGCCTCGGACTCGGTTTCTCTTGATCCAGGCGACGTGTCTGCAGGCCACGACGGTGTCCTACAACTCGGCGCTGGTGAATCTCCGGTGGACGCAGGCGTGACTTATTGGTCAACTTGCTGCCGCGATAGGTAGGAAATGAGTTGGAATGAACCTGGCAAGTCCCTCAAAGGAGACAATAGGAGATGGTTGATAGCGGACATTACCTGATTCCCTGCACCAAGTCAAAACGGCACCAGGAGTTGGGGGCCGCAGATTGAAACGTCCAATGGTTTAATTCCATTTGCCAGGGATTCCGCCGGCAATCCGTTTTGGGGTTACCCGATTTTTGACCCACATCCACTTGCTCCGGGAATCATTTGGCATGTGGGAATGAACCGTTGATCCATCCCCGAGGGCGGCGCTGACAAGCCCTGGCCCGGAAAGTGAAAAGTGAAAAGGAAAACAATCACGAAATCGACTCACACTGTACACGCCGTGAGCCCCTCCCCTCTGTGTAGGCGCGGCTTTCTTCGGCGAACTAAGGGTGGGGGAGGGGTGAAGGGGGGCCTTTGATACTTGGCCAGCATCTTGTACACCTACCGTAACAGGTATTTATTGAATATCAACTCCTGCAGATAGTTCTTGGGCATATATTGGCCTGCCAATTGACCAAGAATGTCGAGGATATGCCTCTCAGGGTTCCTCGATCAACTCCTGTAGCTGTAGGTTCGTATGTGTAGATCAATCCCTGAGATCCTGGACTTTAAGCATTTTGGGTTTGGACCATTTTAGTGGTAAACAAACAAATGAGTATGGGTCAAAAATAGGTACGCAAAATAGAAGCCTGGTAAAGGGAAATATAGACTAAAACCTGCGGTCCCCTGGTGGTTTAATTTTGACCCATACCCAAATCAGTTACTTCTTCTGGCCAATTCACTCGGGAAGTGAGTGAGACACGACCTGGAAGCCTCTTCGATTGCCGTGCTTGTTTGGCTTCGGCGGTTCCCAGCCGTCCCCTTAGTGTTTTTTGGGTTTGTAGTTTGCTTAGTTGTTGGGTGTCCATGTAACCCGCTAAACGTTAAACTTTTCGCAGGGGATCTGAGGACAGCCCAGTCTTGGTTTTCCTTTTTGTTTCTCTCTTTGTTTTTCCCCAGCCGAAAGCTATGGGGTCTCCCAGATTAGGTTTCTTGTTGCGCAAACAGCGTACACTCAAAGAAAAACACACCCCAAATGGGGTTTACTTGGTGAATATGTTTAGTTTTTAACATGGTTCTGGAGCTAGATTAAATAAAAGGTTTCAAATACGGCTTGGTTGTAAATATGGTTATAAACATGAATCCTCGATCAAATAGGAACTAGTTTGAATAGCGACTTTCAGAGAGGGTTTGGTTGCAAACAAGGCTTGATTGTTGTCAACTTGGTGGCTCCCAGCCGTTTTAGCTTTGTAGTGTTTAGCAGGGTTTTCTATTTAGCGCACTAAAAGTTAGTCACTTTTAGCGGGGGATCTGAGGACAGCTCAGTAAAGATTGGACTTTCCTCGGGCTTCGGTTTTTGTCTTTTTCTAGGGGTTGATTCCCCATTTTTTTCAACCATCGTTCTTTTCAAAAACCGGATCTGTTTCCCCTGGGTTTTTGATGGTTTCCTGAAAAGATTTGGATCCCTGGAAAGAATGGAAATGGAAGCTACCCGTGGACTTCTGCCTTGGTTTGACCCTGTCAGGGGCTCATGCTTCTCTCGAAGGTCGAGAAGAACCGCCGCTCGGCGCCGCGCAGCGAGCTTCAAACACCGCGACCTGCTTCCTTTTGGGGGTACGTACCCGTTTTGGGCTTGGCTTTAAACGGAGGAAAGACGCAACTCCATTTTTGGGCGCTTAAAACGGAATGCGAAGGAAGAAGCAAACTTCTTGGGGACGTTTAGATGCCCAGCCATAGGAAATGAAATGGGTACCTCAGGTCCTTACGCCTTTCTGACGTTTAATAGCCAAAGGGAAGCCACTGGCTTGGGGTGTTCCCCTGTTTAAAAGCAAGCCCACGTGTCGAAATAGGAAGACCTTGAAAAATGTGTTTGCCTTTGAGTTCCTGTAAGCCATGCTGAAATCAAGCAACGCACATTCAGGATCTTCGTTCGGCCATGGGAAGATGACGGTGCAACTGGTGGACCTTGTCTTTGGCTTTTGACGCTAGCGTCCGGCAGGGTCATGGGAGACTCACTAAATTCCCCAGAAGGGGACTCACTCATTTCCCCATGTCCATTGCGGGATCCGCATATTTGGACGGCGAATTTGGGGCGGGCAAAGCAAATCAGTGGCGGGTCACGTGTGGAGAAAGGGCGAACTCTCCTACAGGAGCCGAAGAAGCCGATTCGCCATCGCCAGCATGAATGGATGGAGAAAAGTTCCGTCAAAAGGTTTGCCCCTACGTGGATTTGCAAGCGGGACCTTCTTTTCTTGCTGGTGCGATAGGTAGGGAATGTGGGAATAAACCCCTTAAAGGACACTACCAGTTGGATGGTTGATGGGGCTCATTCCATTTCTCATTCCCTGCCTATCGCACCAGCAAGTTGTTGCACAGCAATGACGCGACTGCAGTGCCAAGTCTGCCCTTTCCTTGGGCTTGACAAAAGCTGGGATGACCTTTGGGTAGAGTTTTCCAGCGTTGCGCTCATGAGCTACCCGTGAATTGATTCCGTCCCCCTGTCTTTTCCGAATCGGACCTGTAGAACCACCAACCCAAACACGCTGTTTGACAGCTTTCGAGCTCTACGAACATGAGTAACATGCGCTGTCTTTGCTTCCTGCTTTAAAGCCCTTAAGCTCGACTGCTATTGGGTTGGATCTTTAGACTTTAACTTTTTGGGAAATCAAGGGGCTTTCCACTAAACCCCCCAAAAGTTAAACTTTTTGCAGGGGGGTCAACAGCAACCAAGTAAGGAGCAAGGTGGGATGCGACCCAGCAGAACACCCACTGAGATTCCGAACGGGGTTTGGGACAAGTCCAGGAGCATCCAGAAACGGCTTTCGGCTTTCCCAAGCGCATGTTGTCCCAAACAAACATGTCCCCCAAGACATGCTGTCCTACTCGGATTCCTCACGTTGTGCTCTGATCGATCTTCATTCCTATGGAAACTCTGGACCATGTTTCTTTCACTCTGGGGGAATATCAGATTGAATCTGGCTTTGCCAAGCGCATACTCTCCAAAAAGGAGCAAACACATGTGGTGGGAGCCAATTATAATTAGGACAAAGCTAAATGAAAACCAAAAGGACCGCAGTGCCCCCTTCGCTACTGGAGAGCTGAACGCAGTGGGGCCTGAGTTCTTGAAAATCGTTAAATCTAACCAACATTTGTATGTCCAGGGCTTTCCTGGAATATTTGAGCGTATTCCGGATGCTTTGTTCGCATGATGGTAGCGGGCGTTCGTGACTGGAAAAAAGATACACCTAGATCAATCCTTTACTCTTTGGCTGGACCTTCTAGGTCCCCCAGTAGTGCCCTTTTACCGATTCTTTTTTGGAGGAGGGCTCTACTAAAATAGACAACAAAACAAAGTTGGTACCAACTTCTTCTAATCTCTCTAGTAAGTAGAACCCAGGCTTCAAGCTTCAGCCTTTTGGGAAATTTTTTCGCCAAACGCTCCCAGGAGGGGAGGATAATTTGGGCCGGGGGTGAAATCCTCGCCGTTGGATGCTGGTCTTTTGGGTTCTTTCAAAAGGTATTTTCTCCCAATTGGGCCAAAAGAGCGTCATGCGCTTTTCTCATGGGTCATGTCCTCCCCCCCCACCCCCAAGAAGCCCACGCTCAAGTCGCCCTCGAGAAGCCCACGGAAGAAGTCGCGGCTCCTCAAAAGATACATTCCGCCCATTTGAAACATGTTGCTTTTTCCACCAAACTAAAGGGACACCACCATTTACAAGGCAATGTTCAGGTGAGTCGAGAAAAAACACACTTTGTTTGTGTCAATGTAAGGCATGATCCCAGACGTTTTGGACACCTGGTGTATAATGTAAGGATCCCTGTGAAAGGTGGACTTCGCCCCAGCTGCGTCACCTACAACACCCTCGTGGCCTCGGCGACGTGGCGCGTTGCCTTGGCCTTGGCGTCTCTGGCGCGCCTGCGGCGCGCAAGCGACGCGCCCCGGCAAAGCAAAGCAGTCTGCTTGGGGAGTGGCTTCGGCTCGGTTGGTTCAACAGGCAGCGTCGTTTTTTTTGTTTGGTAAATAAGAGGATTTGGACCCCCATGGCTTTGGTTTTTCCTTTTGGTTGTGCTCCGAAGCTAAGAAAAAGGATGAGCACCACCTCCAAAAGAAGACGCCCTTTACTGGGGGATCCGATGCTGAGTTCAGCTTTTGGACTCGACCCTTTCAACAAGAAGCCGAGGCTTCTCGCCTTAGGTGTTACTAACTCCAAACGAAGACAGGCCCAAAGACAGACAAGCATAGGCACCTATGCCTTGACCAGTCGAGGCGTTGATTGAAAGCGCCTCAGGCGGTCACATACAACACTGCCATCTCCGGCTCCGAGTGGCGCTGGGCCCTGGTGGTGCTGGACACCCTGGGCTCCGAGGTGGGCCAGCGGATCCAATCAGCGAGCGAGTGCTCGGTTTGGTTGGGGTTGATATTTTCTTGGCGGCTCCCGGCCATCCGGTTCCTTCGCTTTTTAGATCTTTTTTTAGGGTTTGGTGGTGGTTTCCACTTAACTGACTGAAAGTTAGTCACTTTAGGGGATCTGAGGGGTTTGGTTTGACCACTTTGTTGGTTTCCCCACTTTTTGGTGGCCATCTTGTTGGTCATGGCCCCCGAAAGGGCGGCCACGGGGCTTCTCTGACCTTGGGATGGGTTGCAGTTCTCCGTGGTTGGTTCCATGGGCAGGTGTTTTCGACGTGTCCGGAAGCTGAGCATGATTTGGTTGTCCCTTTGTGGGGCCAAAACAAACACCCTCAAGCCATCAACCTGAGGGAGCTGAGCATGATTCGGTTTTCCCGTGGGGGGAAGAACACCCTTAAGCAAATATACCTGAGGGAGAGTTCTCGACAAATGGACGGGCTTTTCCATGCGAATCGGGGGAACACATGTTGGGGGTTGGTGAGATTTTCCCCAAGTGTTTGCCAACCTAGACCTCTTTTTCGAGCTTTGTCAAACCGGGCCCGGTATTCGCGAAACCCGAACCATGCTCCCAACCAAGCTAGGCGCCGGGGTCCCCGGTGTGGTGGAAGCAGGCGTCAAAAGCAGCGAGGGTTTCCCTCCACCATCTCTGCGAGGCCTGGACCGAGGTTCTGGTTTGGTTTTTTGGGCAACAGCGTAGCTTGGTCGAACAAACGCATCCATGGACACTTTTTTTTCCGGCATGGAACATCTCCGAGATGTGTAGACCCATAGCAATTGCCTCGAATTCCGTCTCCCTTCGGTTTCCCTCCACCAGGACGAGAGTGATTTGACTTCGAGTTTTGTTTAACATCCTCTAGGTCCCCCAGTAGTGCCCTTGCACCCTTCTTTTGGGGAGGCTTCCCCTACTAAAATAGACTACAGGAAAAAGTTGGCACCAACTTACTCTAACCTCTCTACTGGAGGACCTAGTCCTTTTCACTTTCACTCAAAGGTCAAGAGCCAATGGAGCCCGTTTGTTGGGCTTCGAAGCAGCCAGCCGCGGGCGAGTCAGGTGGTAGCCCTCAATGCAGCGGCCAGCGCTTGCGAAAAAGCGTCGCAGTGGCAGCAGGCCGGAGCTTCGAGTCTTCTGGTCCGCCCTCCGGATGAACGCCTTTCATGTTTCTCCGGAAAACCGAGGTGATGGTTTTCTGTTGGCTTCCCGTTGAAGCCGTCAAGGACGTTCCCCTTTGCCGAAAATGCGGCTTCCCATTTGGCGTCTGTTGAAAGCACCCCGGAAAGGGTACTAAAACTACCGGGAAACTACGCACCCACTTCGCACCAGTTGGTCCTGTCAACGATGGTGTCTTTTTCTTGGACGGATGATTCTCCGAACCCTGGTTTGGGAGTGGAACATTTTCTTTTGGTTGCCTCCCTTTCATGGGTTTCCTTTTGGTGTGCTTTTGCGGGAGGACTTTCAGGACCCAATGGAAGTCATGGAAAGGGGTGATTCGAAAGGGCACACGCGGCGAAGGGGGCAACGATGGACCCTCCCACCAACTAACACCCTTTCATGCTAACACCCATAAGGACAGGGGGCAAAAAGGCCCCTTCCAAGGGGACAGCAGTCTTTCCACAGGGGTCTGTGCACTTCCATGTTAGCTGCTGGGAGGGTAGATGCCATTGGAGAGCATCTCGATGTCTTGGCGGTAGCTCGGTGATTGCACTCCGACTTCCAAGGCGTATGTTGTTCTTGGGCGGTCCCATGCGGTCCTTCTTATGGTTGGTGGAAACCGCACGGACACCTTTTTAAGAAATAGCGGCCATTTCGGGGTTCCTCTATCCCGTCTGGAGACAAACCGTGACGCCGACCCTTCATTCACACACCTTTTGCCGATTGTCCAGGGTGCCTTTTGGGAGATGTTCTGCTTGCGGGGCCCTCGCCTCTGATTGATATCTGGGTTGATCCATCCCATCCTTCAGCAGCGAGAGCTTGGGAAGGTCGCCTTCCTTGAGAATCGCCACATTTGCCCAATCAAGCCCGCAGAATCTTTGGCGCATTTTGCCAAGGGATGTTAGGACTTTAACTTTGTGCCAACAAATGGGTTTTAATGAAACCACTAAAAGTTAGTCACTTTTAGCAGAGCAGAAAGCAACCGAGGAATAGCGATCCTCTTTTCAAGCCCCGAGCTTTTTGAAGCCCCCTTCATCCCTCCCCTTCCCTCCAAAAATTCTGAGCGGAAAAGCCGCTAGTGCGGAACCCTTGGAAGTAGCAGTTGGAGCGGTTCCGTTTTTGGAGTTGGTACCCCTTGGTTGCTTAAACAGGGAAACCAAAGGGAAAACCGAAGCCGAAAAAAAGGGGGTCCGATTCCTACAAAAGACAGACTTAAATGATGTCGACAGGGAACCCATCAAGATTCATCTGGCTAAATAAGCCTAGTTGCAACCTAGGACCTAGTTACAATGGCATATATAATCAGCTATAACCAACCCAAGTATCTAAGATGGTATCCACCCCCTCCAAACCACTGCCGCCAGGCGAAATTGGGGTATATACCCCTTTAACTAGTGGCTATATATGGCTGTGGGTCAAAAACCAATGGGATCCCATTTTGGGGTAGGTGAATTCACCACCCATTTTAGAACCTATTTTAGTGGTTGGATTGAATCGGATGTTCACTGGGGGCTAACCGATTTGGATTTTGAAAAGCCCATGACAATATCCAAAACACCGGAATCCCAAAACGGCTTGCCCTGGTAAGTGGAAACATGGACATGAAAACCTGTGGTTTGCCCCTCCTGTTTAATTTTCAGCCACACCCATATATATATATATATATCCCAAACCTGTGTAACCCCTCCTGTTTAGTTTTGAGCCACACCCATTAATATATATATATATATATATGCATATATATATATATGCATATATATAAATTCATACCTATATGGCCATATCCCATTCAGCCGTGGCTCGTTTGGTTTGGTGGACAGGCGCTTGCCCTGGCGCTGGGATCTGCGGACGTGGTCACCTGGAGCGCGGCGGGGGGTTGGGCGGGTGTGGGGGGGGGGGGGTGGTTGATTGAGCGAGGAGTCTAAGCGCAGGTTTTGGACGAGTTGGTTAAGCGCGGCGGGGGGGTTCCTGGGTTTACCCTGCTGGGGGCGCAGGGTTTAGACGAGTCAGTCGGTTTAGCCTGGAGGAAACCACAGGGAAGCCAAAAGGAATGGGTACACTTCTTTGACTTGTTTGATTTGTTTGAATGCGCGGCATCCCATGCAAATTCCGGCTTGGTTCCAAGATCGCACTGACTTTTGTGATTGGGGGTAGTTTTACGAGGTATCTTGTTCAGCTTGGCTTAAAGGGAAACCAAGAGCCAAACACCCACAAGTCCATTTCTCATGGTGGAGTTTCTACCTGTCTGCAGATTGAAAAAACGAGTCTAAACTTCTCCTTTTGGGGGGTCCGGCTTGTTGGGTTCCACGTTAGACGGCAAGGGAGCGAGAAACACCTATTTAAAGGGACACTCAATTTAACATGGTGTCCATATGCCCTCCCGTGCTTGTATGGATTGGTTTTAAGTGGAGTAGCCGAAAGATGTCCAATGCTTGCCTTGTTGGAACTGTGGCGAGATGGGTGTTTCCAAGTTGTGGACGGTGCTTCCACTTGAAGTCAAATCAGAAGGGAGCAGCTCAGCCATGTCTAGCCCGCTGCCTACTTTAGTTGAAACCACTTGGCCTTGCGTCAACCATAGGGGAACCCAATCCCCCTCCCTCCCCCCTTCCCCCACCCCCCCCCCCCCCCAAAAAAAAGAGACACAAACAGAACAAGGAAGCGGGTCTTCACCTGTTTCTACTACATTTCGTTGCCCAACCACGAAAGTAGTCTTTCGGTCCGTGCGCTGTTCGGCACGAAATCTCTTGGGTGGCGACTTTTGTAATTGTTGGGGACAAACATGCGGATGAGCAAATTCACTAGCATTTACATGCAACAAAATCTCCTGTCGGTGCTTCACATAACGTTGGCCTGCCACCCCCTAGCGGCCAATAGAAGCGAGAAAGAGGTGATGGAAGAGCCAATTCACAAGTCTCTTGCATTCCCGCTCACTTCCCTCGCACACCCGCCCTTTCTCCCTTCTCTTTCTCTCCACCATTCACTCTCCTTCTTGGCCACTTCACCCGTCATCATTTGCTAGAGTTTTTATGCTTGCACGGGTGGTCCAGGAAAGGAATTGCGTGTTTTCTTTCCTCTCACTATGCCACACTAAGAATCAAGCAACGGGTGTGCTGAAAGAAATGGCCATGGTTCAAAATCAATGGTACCATTTTGGGATAGGTGCACCACCCATTTTAATCGGGGATTGGGATGTTCACTGGGGGTAGGGGTTTTGACCCATGGCCAAATGACCCGATTTCCCCTTACTCACATGTACGAGAGCAGGAGATAAACGATCTCCTCCATCTCTGTTCAAAAGGAACATGGTCCCAAACCGGCGACCCCGAAACGCCAGGTTCCACGTTAATTGCTGGGAGGGTGATCGAAGTGGGATCGACATTTGCTTCTAAACAGGTAGCTCAGGAGATGGTAGATTCCCATCCAGTCTAGTCGTTTTTGGACCGGCCTCCGGTGCTTTTGTTTTTCAAGGTCCCCCAGTAGTGCCCTTTCTCACCCTTTTTGGGGGAAGGCTTCCCCTACTAAAATAGACAAGAAAGAAAAGAAATCGGGTACCAGCTTATTCTAACCTCTCAAATCTGGAGGACCTAGCCCCCAGTTCCTGGTCCTTTTGGACCGGCCTCCGACGCTTTTTTGTTTTGATCGGAAAGGAACATGTTTTAAATCGGCGACCCCAAAACGTCAGGTTCCGTGTTCACTGCTGGGAGGGTAGTCGTTTGTGGACCGGCCTCCCGTTTTTGTGTGTGTTGTGCTAGCGTCGGAGCGATCCGATGGATCCGCAAGTTTGGAGGCGGTGGCGGCGTGCGAGAAGGCCAAGGAGTGGCAACGGGCGCTGGAGATCCTGGCGTCGCTCCGCTCGAAGCTCCAGGCGAAAGCCTCGACTTCCGACTTCGAGGGCCGCGCTCGGTTCGGACCCGTGGAACGTGTGGCTTTTTAGGGGGAACAGAGGATTGAACGGAAGAGAGGCAGAGGGAACAGAGAATTGAACAGAACACAGGGGGAACAGAGGAATGAATGGAACAGAGGTAGCAGGCAGGAGATTGAAAGAACAGAGGATTGAACAGAGCGCAGGGAACAGAGATGGCGGGTTCGGACCTGAAAGGCCCAGAAAAGCGAGATCCAACGTGGAACATGTGCATGTTTTTGTCCATTGACGGTCACAAGGCTTTATACTTTTTGGGTGAACAGACGGTTTGGACTTTTTTTGGCCAGTCCGGGCAGGAAGTGAGTTGAACTCCTGACCCAACTTGAAATCCTCCGATTTCACGACTCACCCATGTCTCGCATGAGGCCACCTCATTTGTCTAATGGGGAAGACCCTCAGGTTGGTCAAGGGTCATGGAGAAATCCCCCCACCAGTTGAACCGGGTGCCCAGTCGCAATTCCCATTTCTCCCATTCTCAAAGTCGCCCCTTGAGCGGCAAGGGAAAGAAACAAGCAGGCACTCCAACTTTTCATGAGGTTCGGTGTCAGAATCTCAACGAATTGTTGCTAAAGGACAAGAAATTTGTTGTTCAATGTCCTTTACAGGACCCGCATATTCTGACCATGACTCACATGGAGCCCACATTATACAATTGTATGAGTGGACAAAGATACCGAAATGCAAAATAGTGACGGTTTCTCTACTGCAGGTTCACACGGAAGAAACCATGCTTTGTAGAGGAAACTCCTATTGATGTGAAGTTGCAGGGGAGTAGTGAAAGACATAGATGAAATAGATATTGAGCAAAGCGAAGAGGTTCCACTCCCCGACATGGATCCAGTGTGTTATTACTATTATTATTTAAATGGGAAGAGGAATGCCGGTGCATTCCCAAAACTGGTTGGAGCCTTTGGCCGTTTTTTTAGAGTTGGACACCACAAGCACATTGCTGGAGCCAAACAAATCAGCAGGTTTTGATCTTAGCAGAACCCACTTTTGCAGGTCAACTGATTGATCCGGCGGTTTCCTTTCCTTCTCCGGCAAGGGTGCTGGCTCGAAACGAGACATGTCGGGAGATGCCGACAGGCTGAGCCCAGGTCTTGCCCAACGGAGCCACGAGTTGTCCGTAACACGGTAAATTTCAAATGAGCCCAAAAGCCAAACCACGCATTTCAGAAGGAAAGGCAGCTGCGAAGAAGGTTTAACCAGCTTGATTCCCCACTCGTTCACAGCATGAACCACCTGAATTCCCAGATTTTCTGCACCAAGTTCGAACGTCCACAGTCCGCCTGTGAAGCTGATGTATTTGCAGCCACGAGTTTTGGGAGTCGCTGAGTCGCTGGGGTTCGTGAGCTTCGTGGTTTGGGATGAAGTTGCAACTTGGTGCCCAGGGAATGAGGGAAATGAACCTGGCGAAGTTTTTTTTGAAGGAAACCGTAGGGGGCCCGGTTTCTAGGGGTCATTCCTTCACTTTTTGCACCAGCAAGAAGAGGGTAGTGAACTGATTCGCAGCCTAGGGGTCGGAGCCTTTGCCAGGCCTGAGGGCTCTGATTTGTGTCCGATTTCCGGGGCCGATTCAGCGCTTTACCAGGCAGATGTGATCATCTACAACTCCGCTGCTTGGATGGCGAAGGGACCTTGCGCTGACAGCCAACAACCTCAAGATTCGTTTTTCCTTTCTCAGGTTCCCTCATATAAGGATGCAAGTTTGTGTTGGTTAGACAATCACCTTGACCATCTAATTTTAGAGGTTCCCTTGTAAAGCAGGTGGTTTTCGGACGTATCCTAAGGACACCTGTTGGGAAGTCTTGCGCCTTTCTGCCGTCGCGCAAAGCTCAGGCGATTTCCGCCTGCGAGGGACTGGGCAAGTGGCAGCACGCCCTTCTGCTGCTGCAAGAGGTGCATTCGACGCTTGGCCGCGCCTGCGCTGGTCTCAAGGCTGACGCTGTTTGGTCCATGCCGTAGGGCGCCAAATAGGTGTGGCTCAAAATCCGAGAACTAGGGCAATCCGCGGGTTTTGGTCTTTGGTTCCATATACCAAGGTGCCATTTTGGTACATGTACTTGAGCCACAGCCAAATGAGCTGGCCTTCTGACAGGAGTTCAGCGGACTTGACTCGGTGTGTTTTCACGTAACGGCTCATTGGCTTCTCAGTTTTAAGTTGGGGGTTCAGAGGCAGAGGCATGCCGTGTTTTGGGGAGACCCCCGTTTTTTGTTTGCAAGCCCAGCCGGCTCTCTCACGGCTGAACGAAACCACGTGCGGTGGTTTCGTTGCCGAAGATGTCAAAGACCAGGATCTGATAACCCCCCGAGTTGCCATGGGCTTTCCCACCACTTCCCACAGAACAGATGTACCATATGCACGTTGGGTTGGGGACCTGGGGATGCAAATGGCTGACAAGGGGCCTTTTCCTCAGAAGATGGATTGGAAAGAGGGCATGGAATCTCAGATGGTATGCGTTGGGTTCGAGGGCATGGAATCGAATCAAGCCCCGTTACCTCGGATAAGTGAACCCAAAGGTTCTAAGCTCGAACCCGCGAAGACGCAGTGGGGCTCTTTTTCTCTTGATCAACAAAAGGCTTCATGTGCACAAAGTGAAAAGAGCGACGTGCTCCCCTCACAGGCTCGCCTGGGATTTTGTCGCTCCCAGGGGCCATTTCCAAAATGGAAAATCCTCGGCCACAGCCCAAGCCTTTGTTCACTCATCTCATCGACGGATCCGAGGTGATGCCGCTCATGCAAAAGCGGCAAGGGCGTAGTGGAAGCCCTCGGATCGTGGTCGAATGCTCGTCCATGGGGATGCAGTTGTTCGCCGAGTGGAGATAGCCATCAGAGCCCCTCCACGCGGTCCCATTCCTTCCCCTTTGATGATGCGCTCCCAGCCAGCAGTTCGGGCAAGGGAGCATGGCCCGGATGCCTCGCGCAACTGCACCTCGCAATCCCCAGCAATCCCGAGTCCAGTGATAGCGCTCCCCGAAGGACGTGACGTGGTAGAGCTCCACCATAGCCCTTTGCCGTGCCACCACATTCTCCGGTTCCGGTTCACCACCTTGTTCAGCTTCTTCACGTAGCTGCCTCAGCTCCCGCTGCAGTGGGTGTTGACCTTGCCTGCGAAGGCCATCAGCAGATGATGACGCCGATTCCGTGGCCGTGCTAGGCGAGCGACGCTCAAACGTCATCACCTCCTCCTCAGCTCCAGAGCTTTCTCGCACGCTCAACTCGCGCTGTTGCTGTTCCAGCCGGCGCTCCAAACGCTCCTCCTCTTCTCTCTCCTCCTGCAACCTCCTGACTCGCTCAAGCCGGAAGGTCCGGTTGACCTCTTCCCGAAGCCTCCGTCTCATGTCCTCCTCCGTCTCCACGGCCTCAGTCTGCACTTCTCGCACTTCCGGGCCTGCAGGTTCCGGCAGCCGATTCCTCTGCTCCAAGATCGCCCGCACGGTCGATTCCACGACCCTGTAGCACATGATGGCAATGAAGGACACCACCACCACGAAGATCACGAGCTCATAGCCGCCTTCACCTTCTCGACGTCTATCCTGGGCTTCTGTCTGCACCACCTGCGTGCAGAGGATCAAGCCCCCAAGGCCCATTCCTCCACTCGTAGTAGGCGTAGTCGGCCAGGATCTCATAGAGTTCCGCCTCAATCTCACCGACGAGGTCTGCATGGGCGTTACACCCTCCTGATCCCATTCCTCCAGTCCACCTTCATCACTTTCCGGGAAGGTCCATGAAGCCACCATAGAGCTCCTGCACGGTGAAGATGCCATAGAGCCCGATTCCGAAGTAGCCCCTAGATCCCTGACCTCATCACACGTGGCCAGGAGACTCTGGTCCCCCTCCCAGACCGTAGGACTCTGCTCCTCGTCCTCGACGTCCAAGCGCTCTCCCAAAGACAAACGCCCTGAACGCCAAACCTCTCCATCCGTGATCGGGTCAAGCATCTCCTGACCACTCCACTCCTCATCCCACGGCAAACGCCTTTCCTTCGGCGCCAAAGCCCTGACCTTGACAGCAGTCTGGCCTTGCCCAGGCCAATCTCATTGACCTTCTGGGCCAGCGCCGCCACTCCTCCAATCAACACCAGTTGGCCCACAGCCTTCATCTGCCTGACTTGTGGAGAAAGACCACCACTCGCCATCAGCAGGCCACCGGCAACAACCGCCAAGAGGCATTTGACCATGGCCTCCTTCTGCTCCTCCACGTCCTCATGCTCCACGACCTTGGGGACAGACTTCAAGCCCACTCCCTCGCAGAACCGTTCCAAAGCCGCCACCGGCAAGCACTTCGTGAGCGCATCTGCCCACAATCTCGTACCCACCCGGTGTGTGAGGCTGAACTCGCCCTCCCTAATGGCCTCCGCCAAGCAGTTTGCTCTGATGCGCAAATGACGGGTGCGCCAACCTCCTCCCTGGCCTCCGGCCAAGATCAGCGCCGCGCGGTTGTCATTGTAGATCTCCATGCTGATCGGGACCTCGAAGAGCTCCAGCAGCGCCCTCACTGAGCGACCCGCTTGCGCCCCTTCCATAATCGCCGTCAGCTCCGCCTCCGCCGTAGATAGAGCAACCAGAGACTGCTTCTTCGACTCCCACTGCACTGGGCAGCCCGCGAAGAGCAGTATGATGCCCGTGACGCTGTGCTGCTCCTCCACCCCAAACGAAGCATCCACCAGCACCTCCAAAGTGCCAGCCTCCCGGGGTGTCCGCCGGAACATAGTCGGATCTGCATCCACTGGCACCTCCTTGGTGTAGACCAGCTTCTTCTCCCACGACGTGCTCAGGTAGGCGAGAACATTGGCTCCGAGCTCCAGTACCCACTCCGGGTTCCTCGTCGCCCTCGACGACATCCTCTGAACCGCCGCTGCAAGATCCGGTCTGGTCTTCCCTGAGAGGCACAACAGCTCTCCAGTGAGCCGTTGGGCCTCCCGCACCGTCCGCAAAGCTGGGGCAGGGTCCTCCTTTTCCTCCGGGACCTTGATGTGCGTAGCTCGCGCCACCACCCCATTCCTCTGCAACAACTCCTGCGCGTAGCAGTGCTGGTGGACCTCAATGTCCCCCTTCTCTGACTTCTGGATCTCCATGCCCAGGAGCTTCATAGCGGGGCCTCCGGCCTCCACATACTCCGGCGGGCTAGCCGGCCAGGTCGCATCCAAGACCTGAGCAAGCTTCTCCGCGGTGCTCCTCTCCGCCACCACCAGCAGATCATCCACATAGACCGCAAGGTAGCCCAGAGGGGGTCCCGCAAAGAGTACACCGCCCCCGTGACCACCCAAACCTCGTCGTGGTCGATCAGGCCCGCATCGTAAAGGAGGCGAGGTGGCTGAACGATGATCAACTCGTCCTGCGAAGTGGGTGCCAACAGGAAGGCCGAGCGAATATCCAGGGAAAGGATGTCCCAGGACTCCAAGGCTGCTTTCCTCAGGATGGCCCTCACTTGCGTAGAGCCCGCCCCCGAGGCGTAGAGCTCATCGGCGCTCCGGTCAGCCATGTAGTTGCCGCAGCACACGATGCGCGACTTCCGCTTCCCTGCTCCCGCCTTCCGGCTAAAGACTCCCATGGCAGGGATCATCTCCACCACCTTTCCAGCTGCTTTTGCCTCAACCATCATGGCGTCGGCCTCAGCCTTGGTGACCCTCTGAATGGCCTGATTGGAGGTGAAGTTCTCCAGCTCCCCCTTCATCGACGGAAGCCAGTCACTAAGGTTCCTCTTCACCTCCTGCAGGGAGATCATCCTGGTCTGCAAGAACACCTCCTCAGCGGCCTGCATGACCTGCTCCTCCTGCTCCTTGACCGCCTTCAAATAGGCGTCCTCCAAAGTCACCCTGATCTCCGCGTTCTCAGCATCCAGCTCACGGATCAATCCCACTACCGACTCCCCCATCTCCGTGTCCTGCTCGAGGATCTTAAACTCCTCATTCGCCAGGGCATCTCCTTGATGAAGCCGCCGTTGTAGCGCTTGCACGCCCAGTGACTTGACCGCACTCTTGCCTCGTATCCTCCTCGGTGGATCTCCTAGGCCTCGAAGTGGGCCAGCTCCTGGATCTCGCTCCGCCAGTTCCAGCAACTCCGGAACCGCTTCCTCCTCCTCCTGCTCCTTGCATGGCACCAGATCGTCGGTGTGGAGGTACTTCTTGTCCTCGGTCTCCGCGATGTGGCCACCAGAGGTCAGGCTCATCGACACATCCTCTCAGCCAAGCGCGTTTCTTCCGGGCTCTCCAATGCCCTTGAAAGTCATCCCATGACTTAGTCTTGACCATCACCTCCATGTTGTAGGGGAGTAGCTCCGGCGTGATGTAGCCAAGTGATCGCAGCTGCTGACGGCCGCGCCGTTCTCCGACCTGGCGCGCCAGCATAGGCCAATGGTCCTCATCGAGCTTCAGGGCCTTCAACAGGACCGTGACACCCCTGCGAACCGTTCCCACTTCACTTTCCGCACGCCCATTGGACTTCCAGTCCCCGCCCAATGTATAGGTGCGGAGAATGCCTCTGCGGGCGCACCATCGCTTGTTGGCCTTGCTGGCCAATTCCCCGGCTCGGTCCGAGTGGATCCGCCGCACCTCCAAATTCAAGTAGTTGAGGCGCGCCACCATGCGAGCCATGGCCAGTGTGATAGCCTCTCCATTCCTTGACGAAAGAACCTCCACGAGGGTGTAGTCCCGCACTTCCACCTCTTCCGGCTCTACCATCTCCTCCCATTTCTCCATGTCTCCTGGATCACCATCAACGTGCCCAGGAATATCATCTCCCCCCTCCTCCACCTCCGGTAGAAGAGGACCTTCAAGATCGCCTTCCTCCACGGCAACCTTCTCCTTAGCAAGGATCTCCCCCAACCCGGGCACCAACGGAACCAGCTCTCTGCTTTTCCTGGCGACGGGGATCGTGAAGACTCCCACCATCATGTAGCGGCTCTTTGCCTCCTCCATATCCTTCCCCGGGCGGAATGGCCCGCACAAATCCAGGGAAAGCGTAAACGTGTCCGGTGCAGGAATGCGCCTGTGGGGCCGTGAACGACCAGCACCCTTCTGGCACTCCGGGCACTCTCTGTTGAACGGCATGTGGTCCAGCGCCCGATGCCGGGCCCAATCATCGCTCGACATCTTCGACACCACCGGGTGCTCCAACTCCAGACGAAGACCCTCCACAATCTTCAGCTTGAAGGGCTCAGGCCATGCGGCCCAAGACCTGGTCTCCTTGACCTTCTGCTCCAGGGGGATGTTCATCACGTTCTTCCCCTCCACATTCGCCGCCGAAAGGCCATCCAGAAGGCCTAGGGCTTTGATGTTCGTGCCCAAGGTAGTGGGCTTGCGGCGTTCGTGGCCTAAGCCACCCAAGTCCAGCTTCACCTCCTTGATGTCGAACTTCTTCTTGAAGGAGGCCCATTCAGGCCAGGCGAAGAAGCTCGGGTAGTCGGTGCTGTCGGACTTCGCCTTGTACTCCTGAGGATCTCGAGGGTGTTCCTTCAGGAAGCGCACCCTCTCCTTCCTCGCTCCCTGAGCCAGGGAGAACAACCACAGCTGCCTAAACCACAGCGTCGCATCATTGAGGGCCAGCTCTCGATCCGCCTCACTGAGGCAGTCCAGCGCAAACCTCTCTGGCCCGTGTCGCGCTCTCAGAACCGGTGGGCCGGGTCGCTGATGCCGAAGCCTCGACACTGTACGGCAAGGGGGTCCACCAAGCAGGGCATCAACTGCACCTCCTTCGCATACCTCCGCCAAGAATCCTGCGACCTGGTCCAGCAACAAGTCCTGGCCGCTGCTCACCTCCCGATCCACGCACAGCATGACCCGGGATGAGGTCTCCATCATCTTCTTCCACCAACTCTGATCCGGCCCAGAGAACAAGTGCACGATGACGGATGGGCTCGACAAAAACTTCTTCCTCTGCCTCCTATTCCAGGGCAGAGCCGCACCTTCCCATTGGCCGGAAGGCACAATCCTCACGATCATCTCATCAGAGAAGTCCGGCCACAACTCCTTGATGTCGACCATCCACCTCCAAACCTTGGAGTTGACCTCCCCCGGCTCCCCCGCCCTCAGGGCTTTGAGGCGCCTCTGCATTTCCGTTCCCTCCTTCTCCAGGCGCTCGATGAGCTCCGTTGCCACCTCCTGCGCCACTGTGGGGCAGCCCAGCTCAAGCTCCACCGGGATCTCCACGCCCCGAGATTCTCTCATAGCTCGAACTCCTCGTGCTGCCACAAGATCTTGTAGCCCAGGCGCGCAATCCTCCCAAGGGGAATGATCGTCTGGACCGGGTAGTCCGTGAGCAACGTGCCCGTGGCGGGGTCCTGCCTCAAGGTCACCTCACCCGCCGCCAACTCCACTTGGATGGGCACCGCATCCTGAAACTCCTCCTTCACGGCCTTCGTCCGGGGTCTCAATGACCTGAGAAGCTGCACCGCCTCCTTCACCAGCTCTCCATTCACCTGTTCCGTAGGTGGAGCCGCCGAAGGCGAGGGCGACAAAATAGTGACCTTGGTCCCTTCCACTGCCACCTCCTCAAACTCGGACTTGTCCTTCTCCTTCACCGGAGAATTCTCCTTTTTCACCTTGGGGTTTGTGACCTCCCTCACTGGGCAGTCCGGCTTCATGTGCTGACTGCTTCCACAGCGCCAGCATCGTCCAATCTTGCCTTCTTCCCCCCATTCATGAGCAAAGCCGCACGCCTGCCCCTTCTTGCAACCTGATTCCGAGAGGAAGTACCTGCAGGCCGCAGTGCTCTTCCCCTTGCCCTTGCCTTTGCCCTTCTCCCTGTCGGGCTCCCGAGGTTTGTAGTCCCGGTCGTAGGCCTTGGGCGTGTCCTTGACCTCCATGGACTTGGCCTTCACAGCCTCCTTGGTCGACGCCCCACCTCCGTGGTAGACCGTCTCCCCTTCCGCCTGCAGCGTGTCCGCAAACTGCAGGATTCCATGTGGCGATGGTGCCACGTCCACCCGTAGTGCTGCCCGAGCTATCTGCAGCCTGAACGACACCTGGGCAGAAATCTTTCCAAGGACCACCGCGAACTTGTCCAGAGTGGCCAAAAGAAGAACTGGATCAGGAGGCTGAATGCGTAGTTCCGTCACCCGCACTAGCCACCTTCGCCACGTCCTCAAAGAAGACAGCCATTCGCCGATGCCCGAGGGGATGCGCTGGTCAACCAGCTGCTTAAGCAAGGAACTCCTCTCGGCCAGGCTTCCAGGCTGGTAGGTCTTCAAGACCTTGAAGATGATGGAGATGCTGTCCGCCCTCCGCTGGGCAATCAGTTCACCTCGTAGAGATTCAGGCACCGCCTTCAGCAAGGCGACTTGGGGGGTGATTAATGCGTAGCCAAGGTGCCCTCGAAAACGCTAAGGGCGCCTCCGGAAGAAGCCGAAGACGTTCTAGAGGATCCGCATTGAGCCACCGCTGGTAGCATTCATTCGCCACCCGAAGCACCTCCTGCCACCACGCAGACGAAGATGACGAGAGGTCGGACATGAAGGGCGAGATCATCATCATCCAATCTCCCGCCAGCAAAGGCCCCATGTCCTGCTCGGCTGTTGCGAGGTCCTGCAACTCCGGCAGCTCCACCGTTCTCACCGCCTCCTGACCTGCCATTACCCCGTTCAGCCATCCAGGAAGTTGACCGCCTCCTCCATGAAGACCGCCAAGAAACCCTCCTCCATGACCATCTGCGGGACCGCCACATAGACCTCCAGGCCCACCACCAGGAGCACCTCCTCCACCCGGGAAACCACCACCTCCGGGATAGCCAGGAGGTCCACCTCCCATACCACCCGGAAATCCACCGGCTTCATTGCCGCCAGGACCGCCGTCATATCCTCCGCTGGCCCCGCCACCGGCTCCATTGCCGCCAGGACCAGCACCACCGGCTCCATTGCCGTTCGGCCCAGCACCACCGGCTCCATTGCCGCTAGAACCAGCACCATGAGGAACTCCTGAACCTTGCCCTTGTTGATGCCCAGGATGATGAGCGCGGGCGGAACCAAAGGCCTGTACATCTGGCTGTCCTTGATCACCAGCTCCATGCGGGTCATCGCCAGCGGCCTGTGGAGGCCATCCACGAACTCCACCTAGAAGGTCCAGAAGTGCCTTTTTGGCAGTCGACCCAATTCCAAGGCCAGGTGATGAAGTCGGTCCATCTCCACCCCAAGCCGGCAAGGCTGAAGAGCTCTGTGCCCCAGGCCATGCCCACTGCGGCCAACCTCCACCGGCGGCCTCAGCCCACCAAGCACCGGGTCCAGCAGCATCCGGGCCACTCATTGCGGCCCCAACCAACTTCTCCTTGAAGGAGGCCTGCATGGACTGGTAGTCCCGATCCTTGGCCTTCTGCATCTGGTTGATGTAGTGCCAAAGCCTGGCATTTTCCTCCACCACCCCCTTCACCAGCTCCGCGCCAGTGATCTCCCTGGGTGGGCTGGCCTGCACGGCCACCTGGGCATCTCCACCCTGGTCCTCCGGGAGCGTGCTCGGCCTCATGGCCTTCAGCATGGCTTCATCACATGCCCGCTGCGACCAGAAGGGATTCATCTGCGGCCCCAAGGCCTGAGGTGCACCTTCAAAGTCTCCGCCTTCTTTTTGTGGGGAGCCACGAGAGCCAGCTGGAGGTCCTTGTCGGAAGGCGTCTGCATCGAGCCTTCACTCATGGCGTTGGGCTCATAACCCTCGAACCCGCGAAGACGCAGTGGGGCTCTTTTTCTCTTGATCAACAAAAGGCTTCATGTGCACAAAGTGAAAAGAGCGACGTGCTAAGAACCCCGAAACCTTGGTTTCAGAGCCTGAAGCTTAAACAGTCGCCATGGTCCCAGATGAGAACAAGGGGCGAGCTGATTTCAATGTTTCAAGCACGAATTGGTTGCAACTCTCAATTCATCAACACACAGTCCGCTGTTTGGTCGCAAAGCTAAATGGCTGTGGCTCAACAAACCGGTACCAAAATGGAACCCTGGTAAGTGGAAGCATGGACCAAAACCTGCGTACCCCCTCCTGTTTCATTTTGAGCCATACCCAAATGATAGTTGGTTTCACCTGGATGTGTCTCACCCCACGGGCCATTTAGAACCAAACCATTCGGCAGCAAAGAATCGCACCTCGCAACATAGGATTCCGCTTTCCCTAAAATGGCCTTTCGGTGTCCTGGCGGTTTCCGTTTCAGTACCCAAAAAGGTCCGCCATCTCTGTGCCATGGTCAAAGGACCTTCTTTACTTGGGGTTAACAGGGACGGTCATCTACTGTGATGTTGACCCCGGATTAATAAACCGCAGTTGATGAACATGGGGGTGGCCCTGGTGTTAGTGTGGATTTATCCCTTTTGGAGGGGAACACCCGCATATTAATCAAGAAAGGTTTGTTAATCCGGGGTCGACATTACCTGCAAGGTTCCTAAGCATTAGAATGATTTCTTTTCAAGGAAGCATGACCTCATCTACCTGGTAGTAGTTCAGTAGATGTAGGGACCCCCATTTGAATGTTTGTTATACCCTCCCCCAGACTTTGGAAGACTTGGTTTCCTTGGCAGAGGCCTTCTGGGAGTTTCCATGTTAGTCTCAGAGAGTGTAGGCCATATAACGGTTTGACGGTCATCTACCTGTAAGGGATCCCAACCATAGTGATTCCTGCTGAGGGAACTATGACCATAGGCCATATGGCTCAACGGAACCAAAGACTAAAACCTGCCTTTCCCCTTAGCTGTGGACATTTGAGCCGCATGATCAGATAGCCAAAGCACACTTGCAATAGCCCAAATCAACCCATTTAAGCCGCACCCATTATCAGATAATAGCCAAACCAGCTAAACCCAATCGAGCCACACCCATAGGTTTCATCCACCATCCGCCTTGAGCCTACCCGAGGCTCCGGCTGGCGAGCAGCGTGAGCTACAACGCCTGCATCAGCGCCTGCGAGAAATGCGCGAAGTGGCAGCAGGCGGATCCCGTGCCAAGAGGAGAGGAGAAGAGAGGTGGTGATTGGTTGGTTTGGTGGGTTGGTTTGGATGGTATGTTTGCGTGTGCGGGGGAATGTGTTTTTTGTTCGTGGTTGGTTTTTGAATGTTCGTGGTTGGTTCTTGGGTGGGGTGTGTGTGTGTGTGTTTCCTTGGTTCTGTTCAGTTTTTGGGTGGCTGCAGCCGAACAAGTGCTTGGCTTACATAGCGGTTGCTGTGTGCTGTGGTGTTCATGGCTGCACGGATGGCGGAACGATGGTGGAACGGAGGGCGGCAGGCAGGACGGACGGAAGGCAGGCGAGCAGAACGGATAGAGAGTCAGGCAGGTAGGAGGAAGTAGGGAGCATAGGTGTCCTTTTTGGTTGATTTGGTTGAAAAATAGAGGGCCCTGGTTTACCTGGTTGTTCAATCAACTGCCAGGGCCATCTATTTTCCCAAAAAGGACACCTATGGTAGGGAGTCTTTCAACGCTTGGCGGTCTGAGTACGGAAGCGGTTCCGCCAAGAGCTCACATCCAGCATGACGCCATGGCATCCTCGGGCGTAGCACTGCACATGGGTGTGTCGTGTTTGAGGGTACCCCCAAATTTGTGCTTTTAACGGGAAACCACAAGGAAAACCGAAGCCATGTCGTATCAGCGCATTTCGAAGCGGCGTCCGTGGGTGCAGCTCTCTTGGGGTTACCAGGAATGGCCATGGATAGAGCACGTAGGTGGACCGTTATGTCGGAACAATGGCACATGTGTCGCTTTTGTTTTGGGAGCCCCTTGTTGGAGCCCCTTTGGATGGCTTACAGGGTAAACCAAAAGGAATCCAACCACCTGAAAGCAGGGTTGGGGAACCCCCTTGTTCAAACATGTTTTACACGGCCCGAAAACCGCGCTGGTAGGCGTCGTCCTCGGTTTGTTTTTCGGGGCCGTCCAACTGCGCGTTTTTCCTGGCTTGGACACACCCTGGCCGCGACACACGCAACAGGAAACGCGCGCTCACGCAGCATTTCGCGCAATAGTATGCACTCCCGTTTACGCACGCGTGCTACACGCTTGCCAAATGGCAAGCACACCCGCTCAGTACTGCACACATGCCTGCCACACCGTAAGCGCACGCGCTTAAGCACGCCCGCTCAGCAGTGTGCACACGGGCTCGAGTGACGCACGCTTGCCCAACGGCACACGCCTGTCAAATGGTAAGCACATCGGCTCACACCTGCTAAATGGTAAGCACACCGCTCAAGCGCGCCTTAGCACCGAGCACAAGCCTGCCAAATGGCAATGGCACGCGCTCAAGCGTGCCCGGTCAGCACTGCAATCACACGTGCCCCATGTCAAACACACCCGCCCAAGTGCGCCCGCTCAGCAGTCACGCACACGGACACGGACACGAACAGGCGCGTGAATGCATGCGCATGCGCACACGAGCGAGCACGTGCACGTTCGCTCGTACGCCCCAAGCTCCCCTGCACGCCCCCGCACGTCCCCTCACGCCCGCGCACGCACGAATGCAAGCGCGCGCGCGCGCGCATTTCGCGCACGTGCGCACGGGCGCACGCGCGCACGCACGCAATCACACTCACGCATGCACAATCGATTGAGCGTCTTAGACGCAACGCAATTTTTGTCGGCGAAGATGCACGCCGCTGAGCGCGCTTTGCGGGCCGCCAGGACGTTTTAGCACCGGTTGTTCAAACAACTTGTTGGTTCTCCTTTGAAAAGGGCCAGGGTCTGGAGGTTGAAGCCAATGTGCCCGACATTTTTGAGAGACCAAATCATGGTTGTTGCTGGGAAACATTTTACATTTTGCTTATTGTTGTTTAGTGGTTGAACTCCCCACTTAACTGCTAACATTTGAGAATTTTTGCTCCCCTTCCAAAGTCCTTCCCAAGACATGTCCTTCCCTTTGAGGCGCTGGGGCTGCTGTCCGCGCTGTACCAGCACAAAGTGGAAGCGACCGCCGCTCGCAGCATGGAGTTTTCGAGAGCACGTGTGGTGCATCGGATCAGACAGGGACGCTGTGAGCGTTGGGTTTTGCACCGACCTTTTTTTGTTTTGTTTCAGGGTTTAAGGCAAAGCCGGAAAAAATCCTCGAGAATCGAAAACACAAATTATTCTCTCAGGGAAAATGCACTGGAACCACCAAGCAAAACCGGCAAACACCTTGAGAAATCGAATGCTCAGACTGAAAATCGAGAAAACCTCGAGAAATCTAAAAAACACAGATCTCCTCGGGCAAAGGTGAGGTCCACAGGAACATGTTCCTGAACTCATTGTTGTTCTCGATTTCCCCATTCCACAGTCGCCCCTTGGCCACTTTTGGTCTGTCTTCGAAACGAAGCAAGAGATCTTGGAGACCCTCTCAAAGCTTCGGAACATGGGGGATCTGCATTTGCCAGGCCTAAAACCAAACACTTCTTCGTTCTACTTTCAGGGCTCTTTCTTTCACTTTTGGGGTGGGGTTTCCCTGCTCAAACAATCATATTAATATGGGTGTGTCTTTTTGTTTAGGGGACCCCCGAAAATGGTGGTTTTCCGTTTCCACCAAACCTTGACCAAAGATGGATCTCGCGACCACATTCGACTCCTCTAGCTGGTTGCGTCACCTGCCGGCCCGCCCATTGAGGTCATCACGTACAACTCCGCCATCAGCGCGTGTCAGAAGGCGAGCTGTCGACCCACAAAAACAATGCTGGGAGCCAGGCTTCATTTTTGGATTACCACCATGTAGACTTTAGGGGTAGTTGGCTTCCCAAAAGTGGACCCTTGGGTTTCAGGTCTTTTTAGGCATTTCAAACGGGAAACCTACTGGGAGCTGTGTCTCTCGTTTGTGTCTTTTGTCTGGCAGAGGTCCCTGTATCCCCCTAAGCCACCTTGATCCCATCAGGAGTCCTTGTATTTCCCTGCATGAGCCGGTTTAAGGGAGACATGGGCAGGGGGATGCCCTGTGCATAAGTGTCCTTGCGTCAACAAAGAGTTGAAACATGACCGCGTGACCTCTTGCAAAGTTACGATGACTCATGGATTCAGCTGCGTCGTCAAAATGAGTCTCCCCGGCAAACTGCGGGCAGCGGGGTTGAAAAAGGGACCACATTTTTTGACTGCTCCCTAGCTAGGTGAGCGAGCGCACAGAACTTTATCTCAGTTGGAAGAAACCTGGGGCTTTGACCAAACCCACGGGTTTTTCCGTGAACACGACTCCTTGAGCCACTTCGCTGATGCTTGCCTGGATCCTGGCCCATGTGTTAGAGACGAAAGGACCACAACAAACCCTGCGATGTTCCTTTGCGATCTCCTGCTGTGGATGCAGACCAAGCCAAAGTGACCAAGGGCGTAGACTGATCGGCCATTGTCACTGAGTTGGGTAGATGTTACACGGAGTTCCATTCTCGTTCAATTGATTTGAGCTCACGAGTGGTTCGCGGATTCTAGCAGCGAACCATCAACTTCGCCTGTGGCCATTCTCGATGTGGAGCCCTTCCGAAATTCAACTCCTGAGTTCCTGGGCTTCATTTTTCTTGTTGGAAGACCATATCAGTCGCAAACAAAAGCACTTTGGCCCATCCCCTCAGGAAGTCAGAAAAAACATTTGGTTGTAGCTCAAGATTAAACAGCTAGGGCAAGCCGCAGGTCTTTTATTCTTTGTTTCCATTTAAGGGGCCATATTGGGTCCATGATTTTTGAGCCACAGAAAAAACATTTTGGCCAGAGTCACAAGCAACCCCAGAGTTTGGCTCCCTTGTTTTTGCCAATCCACTCGTCCGGTGACGATTTTGGCTGCCTAATCTTCCATTTGGTTAAGAACATGTTTTTTTCTCCCCCTGTTGGTTCTTTAGGGAATCTATCACTACTGGATTTTTTTTCCAGGGGACTTAAGCAAATGGAGGGAATGGCCTTGGACTTTGGACTTGTCGCGTTTCAACACATATGGGATGCATCCGACCCGGAAATGGGGAAATCCTTTTCGGTTTCCCTTGACTTGGTGGCTCCCAGCCATCCGGTTCCTTAGCTTTTTAGATCTTTTTAGCTTTTTAGTGTTTAGTGGGGATTTCCATTTAACCCACAAAAGAAACAAACCTTTGGCGGCGGATCTGAGGACAGCCCAGTTGAAGCCAAGCCCAAAGCGGGCACCCTGAACCCCCCCCCCCAACAAAAGAACCTCTCTTTGTGCCCGGAATGCAGGCTTCGCGCTGGAAGCACGCCCTACTGCTGTTGGCAGCGGTGCAGCCAGATGTTGTCACCTTCAACGCCGCTTGGCTATGGCGGGCTGCATGTCTGTGAGAAGTGGGGGGGAGGTATGTTGACCCCGGATGAATAAACGCTAGGGGGTGTCCCTGGGTTTAGCGGGGATTCATCACTTTTGAAGGGGAACACCCCCATATTAATACACCACATATTAATAAACTGGGGTTCATTGATCTGGGGTCAACATTATGTTTAAAGAAACTGGTCGAGTTTCGGGGATCCTTTGAAAGCAAAAGGACCCCAGTCCTGTTTGACGCTTTCCGAATCCAATCCCACGGTATCGATCTCCTTCGTCAAAGGCGGCAAGAACTGGCTTCTTGCAAGCGCAAGCTTTGGGAACGCGATTGTGGGAATCAAAAAGGGCTTTGGCCATGCACCGTTTCAGGGACAAACCTGTGGCACGTAGGAAACTCGATGCCCGACCTGCTGGTTCGCAGATCTGGGATCCCCGGTCTGGGGCACCGTGGTTCAGGTCTGGGAACGAAGTGCTCGGGCCACTTCAGTTTTGATGGAGAGCGGTAACGCCCTATTTCCCCATCTCATCTTGCAATAGTGGAGGGCGCTGCAAGGTCTTATGTCATGTGCGTTTCAGCGACCGAGTGTCTAGGCCCACAAGTCCTATGACTTCTTCTTTTTTCGGGAGCATACGCTGGTTTTCTTTTGTCGTCGGCGCAAAGTTCGCTTCGCCTTTGGGCAGCCGGCGCCCGCATCAATGGCGCAGCTGGCGCTTCGTAGGGAATGGCTTGCCTTCAAACAACGGGGGCCCCCCGAACAAATCAGGTTTCGATCCAAACCAACCTGAAACAGGGTACCCTGAAAGGGGAAACTACCCAATTGCAACCCTTGCGTGGTTTTAGAAAGAAACAAAAACACAAGAAGGGGGAGCACCCCTTTTGGGTTCCATGCGAATTCGCAACGGAGTGGATGTCCAGAGCAAGCCGGCAGGCTTCTAAGCCAGCCGCATTCCCGTATGGATGTAATCAAGAAACCCTCAGCACTAAGGTTGGAACTGGACTCGCGTGATGCTTTTTTTGCCCTGGAGCTCAGGGAGAGATCACAGCTACTTGCGTGCCCAATGTTGGATGTGTTTTTTATTTTTATTTTTTTTTTTAATAAGAATCAGAAGCTTGGGTCTCGGAGTCCTTGCGGAAAAAGCAAGGAACTGAAGCTTCGAGTGGAAGTCTCTCAAGCCATGGGCCTTGTCCTCTGAGGCTTGTATCCTCGCGAGCCCCTGGCAACAGGCGAGAATGCTTGACTGCTATGTTGGATCTTTAGACTTTCACGCTTGGGTTGAAATCAAGTCGGGTTTTCCAGTAAACCCCCCAAAAGTTATAAACTTTTTGCAGGGGGGTCGTTGCAGCAACCAAGAATGGGACGGAAACAAAGGGGGACTGGAGGAGGAAGGCGCGCGGCAGCGGAGCGCAGGGGTGGGGTCGACATGGCCACGGTTGAAAACCGTTTTGGTATCCCATTTTGGGATAGGTGCACCATAGACATTCTTTGCAGATGGACCGCGCTGGGCGTCAAATGGCTGTGGGTCAAAACCAATATGATCCCATTTTGGGACAGGTGAATTCACCACCCATTGTAGAACCTTTTAGTGGTTGGATTGAATCGGAGGTTCACTGGGGGCGAATTAACCGATTTGGGTTTTGAACAGCCCATGGCCACATCTGCGTGACTTGCAGACGGCTCATGGTGGCCACAGCCTGCTATCGCCGTGCTGTCTGGAATGATTGTTGGCTTCCTTCCGGTTTTCCCCCAAAAAAACACGCCTCAAAGTTTGCTCTAACAAAGAGACTCCAGCGCTTTCCTTGACCACATTGCCCCAGACAGAGTTGATCCCAACGGAAGCGGGCCCCTAGAAGGGGGGGACCTCCATACCATGGACACTTAAAGCACCTCCATGCCTTGTTTGGCAGCACCAACCACCTAAGACTCTGCCTAACAGCACGTGGTTAAAAAATGGACCCGAAGCGTCCTTAAACCATACGTGGGGCCGGGCCCGCTTATTTGGGGGTGTTTGTGCACTTTTTCCGTTCTTCCTCTGTTTCCAAGACTTCCTTTTTCTCTTTGTCATCTCCAACATTCGCATCCAAAACCTGTTCAAACCCTTTGACCCCTTTTAGTATGCGAAGTCTTCCCAATTCCCGAATTCATGGACTTGGATTTGCTTGGGAAGACCTTTTAGTGGCAAACAACAAGCTTAGATTTGTTGGTCTGCCAATCCACTCGTTCGGAAGTGAGACTGTGAATCTCTTTTCCAGCTCCAAGGGATCCACAGATTCGCATCCGTACTTGGGAGTTCAAAGTCCACTTAGGAAGCAGGTTATAACCATGGTTGTAAGCCCGCTTTCTTGTCTGGTGTTCAGCGGGGAATGACCCAGGGTGTTGGGAATGAGCCCGAAGGGGATTCCATCATATTTTAGGAATCCACAAGGGATGGTTTACAGGGCTCATTCCATCCCTGCCTATCGAACCAGCAAGCTTTTATCCATGGTAGCCCACCTAGAAAGTGGTTTGGTTATAAGGAAGCCTCAGTCCCCCCCCCCCCCCCCCAGTTTTTTGTCCATGGTCATAAACCATCCAGAGAGTGGGTTGACCGCCCACCCCTCGGAGTATCCAAAAACGCGGAGGGAGCGCGTGGCCTGCAAGCCCAAAAACCCGACCGCCTCGGCGCCAGGCGCTGGGTTTGCTGGCGCGGGCGGGGGCGAGGTTTGGGGAGCTGCCTGAGGCGTCGTTCCTGGCGGCGCTGGGGAACTTCAAGGCGCCCCGCTGGCGCCAGGCCGGGCGGGACCCGCTGGGGGCATGGTGCTGGGTGAGTTACAGCGACCTCGCAGACCGAATTCACCCCAAAATGGTTGGTTTATGTGGGGAAGGGTTGGTGAAATATTCACCCAGATTGTGGGGTTCTGCGGAAAAAGTGGTGGGGGCGGGGTCGCTTGTTTTTTGTTACGTCTTGTCTTGCAGGGGCATAGGTGGTATTGGGGGCTGTGGGGGGGGGGTGTGGAGTGTTGCATTTGCATTTCTCGCAAGGAGATGTTGCAACCAGGAACCCGAGCAAAACCCAATACACTGAAAAGAAGGTGGTTGCGACATGGAGCCCAAGTGTCCACCTTTTGGGTGCTGCCCTCAATGCGACCAACCCAAGCCTCAAGGGTCCTGCCAGAGAATCGATGGCTGGCATTCCAAGTCACAACACATTGAGACGCATGTTGGTGGGCAGCGATTTGCCGTCAACACAAAGACAGTTTCGCGGGGAGGGGGGGGGAAAGTTTAATGGTCTGATTTTTGGGGTTTCATTTTCTGTGCGGTGAGTTCCCCGCATAAGCGAGGAGAAGAGTCGTGGGTTTACGTCTCCTTTCCTCCAAACCGTAGCCCTGGGGTTAGGGAGGATCTAGCACAGTTAACCTTTCGCCTCCCCCCCCCCCCCCGCGCGCCCTCTTTTCCTTCCCCTCCCCTTCTCCTTCCCCTCCCCTTCTCCTTCCCCTCCCCTTCTCCTTCCCCTCCCCTTCTCCTTCCCCTCCCCTTCTCCTTCCCCCTTCACCCCTCCCAACCACCCATCCCCCTCCCCCTCCCCCACCCCCTCCCCCTCCCCACCTCCCCTCCCCCCTCCTCCGCCCTCCTCTCCCCCCCCACCCAAAGCCATGCAGCCGGTGAGAGGCACTGGCGCTGGTTGCAGCCTTGGAGCTCCACTGGCCGCCAGACACGGCCTACCAGCGCCTTGCCAGCCGATCCGAGGGGGTCCTCCGAGAGTTCTGGGTGGAGTTCCCGTTTCGAACTGGAGTCGCTTGGGTTTCTTGGTGGCTCCCAGCCATCCGGTTCCTTATATAGCTTTTTAGCCAGGAGTTTAGTGGTAGTTTCCATTTGGCCCACTAAAAGCTAAACTTTTAGCGGGGGATCTGAGGGCAGCCCAGGTTTGTTTGCGCCATTTTGCTGTTTTTGGCCCATCCACTTGTTCGGAAGTGAGTAAAGCACTCAAAACGCTGGCTCAACGCTCGACATGGCCGCAGCCTTGGGTGGCCGAATCTGATTCTTGAGATTTCCAGCTTCACTCAATGTGCATCAGCAACAAACGTAGATTTTGTCGGGTTGGGCCACAATCCTCGATACTTTGGGCCTTGGGACCCAGTAGCTTCATTCTGAGCCCGCTCCGATGTTTTCCTCCAGAAATCCGCAGAGGGGAAGCCACTGGGTTTGAAAAGAAGCACGGCTGAAAAGAATGGGGAATGATTTCTCAAAACCTTTCCTTTTGCTGACTCCCAACCAGTTGTTTGAATTATTTTGGTGGCAAACAACAAGCGTTTTTTTTTTTTAGGACTTCTGACCAAGCCACTCAGGAAGTGAGGTGTCTCCCGTTTTGGCCTGATGTTTGGACCTTTTGCAGTCTTTCGTGGTTAACCTTTCAACCTTTTGTTGGGGGATCCTGTTGACACTTTGTGTGACCTTTCAATGAGTGTGGCTCAAATTTCAGGACCCAGACTCGCAGATGTTGCTGCCTTTCTTACATTTTTTTTCTGGGGAGGGGGGTTGTATAAGAACACATGTTGTTTTTTGTCGTTTTTTTTTTGGTTGCGCGGGGGGGGGGGGGGTGCGGGGTGCGGGCGGGATTTTTGAGCATTCAAACAAGGAGTATTTTTGTTTGTTTGATTTTTGTTTCGGGGGAGGGGGGGAGACAATTTGTTTCAAGGTTCCGTCTTGGTTTCCCTTTGCAACCCACCACAGACACAACGCCTCCGACAGGCAGACAGTGGACGCCTGCGCCGGCGCTTTGGGCAGTGGCCAGGTGGGGGAAAGGGGGGAACTTGGAGGGGAGCGAGGCCTTCCCATTCATGCATATGTTTTAAAACAAAAACAAAAACACACAACAAAGCAAACTACACAAATCAAAACAGTAAAATGTACACATCTATGCGTATACACACGTTGTTCCATGATATATATATATATATATATAAATAATATAACATTACGTGTATATATTTGTTCTGTTGCGGGATCCTTTTTGTGATTGTTTCAGCGGGAGACCCAAAGGGAATCGCTGATTTTTTGCTTGGGAATCGGGGGCACACCTTTGCTAAGTCAGAGGCTGCAATGGGCAACATGACTGGGCCCCTGTCAAAGTGTAGGTTTCGATTTCTTCACGGCGCGAGAAACCCGTTCGCGATGGTAAACCAATAGCCCGGTTCCCAATCCAAAACACAAGGGTTGGACCCCAAGGCCTCTTGAAGTGGTGATCCTTTTTCCACGGAGGGGTTCCCCGACAGGTGAGTCGACAGGTATATTCACGCATCAAAGGTTTTACGATCGGATTGCCGGCCTTGAAATCGGGGTCAGAATTTAGGGTCTGTTTGTTTGTTTGTCTTCATTGTTGCCGGAGATGAAGCGATCTATCCCCATCAAGTTCCTGGCGCGAGCCCTCGAGTAAGCAGCAGGGAGTCGAAGCGATGTTCATTTGTGTGTGTGTGTGTGTTTTGAAGGTTACATTTAAAGGGAAACCAAAAGAAGAACCGTTTCCACATTGCGAGGCCCCTTATGTTGAGATAGGGTGTTTCTCAAAAATGGCTTCTTTCCTTTTCCATTTAATCCCAGACAGGACGGGGTTCATGAGATGGGTCTGTCTCAAAGTAGGGTCTTTCTTTTCCGAAGAAGCCAACAGGAAAGTAAGGCTTGACGCCAGAGAGGACCCTTCATTTGAGCCACCTCCCCCGAGGTGCAAAGGCAAGGCCAACCAAAACCGCCCTTGTGATGCTTCACATCTAGGTCTAGGTCCCCCAGTGGTGCCCTTTTACCCTTTACGGCTAGCCCTACTAAAATAGACTTCAGAAAAAAAGAGTACCCTTCTTGTAACCTCTCTACCGAAGGACCTGGACATTGGTTTTGGCTCCCGACTCGTTTTCTACAAAGGAACGGGCAACAAGGGTTGCGGGATCAAGGG